TTTTCAGATGACCCCTCGGCCCATTAGAAACTCCACCAGGGCTATTAGTCTGAGTCTTAAACACAAGTGGGCGGTTTAGGGGGGTTGGGATGAATTCTGCTCCTCCCGAGATCCTCCCGAAACACTGTTGTCACGCACACAGTCCTGTTATGTAATGTAAGGACTGCTTGTTGTGATTCATTAAATGCATCTCACTTTCGAATGAACCTCGCAGACTCTATATATTTTTCTCTTTGAAGATTACGTTTAAGCTTTGCGTTCTTTTGACATCCAAAATAGCCAAAATCATACACCTGCTGTACTTCTAAAGGGGCCTCAAGATGACTTAAAAGGTTTTAAAATAAGACAAACAGACATTAATGGCCAGATTTACTAAACAGTGCTATTCCACAAAAACGCAGATGGGAGTAAAACGTTCAAATGAAAGAACACAGATGTAGCCAGATCATTTCCATACTGACCAACACAATCTACCAAGAGCAGAGCAAATTAGCGTCTGGTTTAAGACATGCTTTTTTGTGTCAGTAAATAATAGCGCAAATACCAGTAAATTGACTGACAAAATTGACAAACCTTAGTAAATCACCTTGCTCATGTTTCATGTAAATACTCTCCTCCCATAAATTTTGCGTCTGATAGGGAATCTTACAAATGCGTATGCAATACGGTCAGGTGCAAAAATAACCCTGTTTCAGCGCTAATTCTTCACTGCGTGTCTTTAGTAAATCCCAACAGTAGTTTTTTTTAACACCAAAAGAGTGTTTGTGCTGGCGCAAGCTGTAAGTAAATCTGTCCCTTAATGTGGTAAAAACAACTAAAAATCAAAACATTTAAACTTTTTCTTCTCGCAAGAACTTTAATTCATACAGTCATTATAATAAGAACTTTTTTAGCCAAACTTAATTGTTTTGAAAACTTTGCATGATGCAAAATTATTATTTTTTCCAGCCTAGAACCACCTTTTTTTGCTAAAGGGCCTTCTAGGGTCCGACAACCTAGGCATCTCCTCTGATACGGCTACAGGGTGTGTCTGGGGAACCAGGCAAACATGACAAATCCAGCAACAATGAATCACTCCCGCACTGATGAATCAAGGGCACTTGTTTACAGTAAATGTGTCACTCAGCATTCTATAAGAATATATCTCTCTGACGTCATGCGATTGCTCTGGAAGGATATTACTTAAGTGAAAAAATAACAACAACAAAAAATTGCCACCGGCAGAATGAAGCATTGGATCAAATGAATAACAAATCATATTCATACACTAGCATTTAAAGGTTTGGAAAGAAATTTAAATTTTCATTTAGCAAGGATGCTGAAAATTCAGCTTTGTCATCACAGGAAAATATTATATTTCAAAATATATTACAATAGAAAACAGTTAAAATGTAATAAAATGTCACAAATATGACTTTTTACTGTATTTTTGATCAAATAAATGCATAACAGACTTTTCAAAAGAATCATACCGACCCCAAACTTTTGAATGGTGGTGCATTTAAGAAAATCATTTAAGAAAAAAACGGTAACATGAAGTAGATGTTGTTGCATACCTCTAAACATCTAAAACTTATTGTTAGACTTTATTTCAAAAATAATCCAAAGTATGAGCAATAAATAGTGACTGTTGCCTTAACAAACACCAGTAATAAATGTGGCGTTGAGCGGTTTATGAGCACGTCTGGACTCTTGCCTACAGATAAATCTTCCAAGAGGTTTGCAGATCTTGCTCACTTAAACAATGACTAAGGTAATTTTACGCAGCAATAATCAAACAATGATAGCCAGGGTAGATATGTTTCTATTTGCATACTGAGCTCACAGAGACGGCCTCAATCAAAACTCCTACAGAAAGCGACTACTAGAAACTATTCTTCCAGAGTCGTACCAACTTAATATCCTCAAAGAGGTTTGTAAATCTACAACTAGCCAAGTAGCGATCATAAGTTAAGGTCTGACACAACATAACAAACACAAATACTGCCAGACAAAACCTTGTCCAACTGGACGGCTGCCCAAACAGGAAGCATGAGACTGTATTGGAGTCAAAGAGGTGAAAGGCTATAACTCTTCAACGGAGGTATCAATTATCTCAGATTTAACCCCTACAAAAACAGAATCTTATCAGAACCAGTAACGTCACAGAAAAAATGTGTTTGCATGTTCATATAGATAATCAAAGGTGGACATTCTGTACTAGCACGGCGATATTTGCATAAGGAATACATAACACAACTTATAACATCGTAACATGAGTCAGCACTTCAACTGTATAAATATGAATTTCTTATCTAACACGGCCATATCTATATTACATCAGAAAATGTATTAATTGCTCATCAATGCGTGTACTGAAGTATTGCTAATTTCATATCCCTTTTATGGGCATCCTTCTCCTCACAAAAAAAAAAAAAGTTTAATAAAATATATTTTAATAAAATATCCAAAAGAAAAAGTGGGACTCCATAGAAGGACCATAAATCCCTTAATTAATAACAGTTACTACTGTTTGTATGGCAGGGTTTCTGCAGGTTTTATGAAGGTAAATGTAAGACCTTTTTGAGACCGAGTAAAGAAATTCTAAGGAATAAACTGAATGGAATACAATACGCAATATGTTTTCTAAATGTAAATGTCTAGGGATAAACACAATGATTTGTATTAGAAACCCTTAAGAGTTTGAAAATACAACTACAATCTATTACTTACAAAACCTTGAAAACCTTTGCTCTCAACCACTAGAATATGTAAATATCTTTTACGGTACCTTCTGATCACAGTGCAAAAAAAAGTGCTGTTCTTTCTAAGTATTTTCTAGTTTTCCAGTGCAACTGTCTATAGATGCATTTACTGGAGATGCAAAATGACATTGACTGTGAAATTGATCAAAAATGAAGCGAGTTTGATTAAAACAAGAACAAATATTTGCCAATGGGCTCAGAAAAGTCAGCTTAATAATTCAAAAGCAAGTTCTCATAACTCGTTTTTGTTTTAAGCATAAACAATTCAGTTTGTTACATTTTTCAAGACTTATTTTTAAATTAGCATCTAAGTAAATGTATCAAAGAAGTATAGATATTTGTATTGAAAAAAAGGACACAAATACTGAGGAAGGAATGCCATGACTATGACTTTTTAAGGCCTTAATTTGAGTTAGGGCAAATTAAGACCCACAGAAACCCTGTTTAGTCTAGTAATGGGCAATGGCATCAAGAAAGACAAAGGGTTCAAAAAACAAAGTGTGAACACCATATGAGCCTTGATCCTCTAGAAAGAACCTTGATTTCTTGACGGGTGCTCGAGTGATGCAACATTAAGAAATACAAGTTATGAAAATAAAGCTCACTTTACAGCGGTGGAGCAAATATTTCCCTCATTAAGGCCCTGATCTGCAGAGACTTGTGATACTGCTTTCATATGTGCGCTCCCCTCAGCAACACCTGATTGAAACTCTGATATGAGAGGGGGCGGCTTCCAAAACACAAACTCAAACTGGCTCCCCTGGACAGACAAAGCGAGTGAAATCTATACTCTAGTATAGACTAATCTATACTCTTAGCCTGGTTAAAACCAGACCATTCTCAGTTGTAACTGAGTTATGGTCTGGCAAAGCGTCATAGACAAATCATTTCCAGAGGGGCGTCACCAACGGACGTCGCGGATAGACCTAAACCCAATCAGAGCGATGAAGGAGATGGCGTATGCAGAGCGGCGGAGAAACATCTCCGAGTGTTGTTCTTTGCTCGGTTTTTAACAAAAAGGAAATGTTCAAATGGCTTAAAACAGACGCGATGCTGATTCGAACGAGTGATGTTCGACGGCGGCGTCCATCTTTGTAATTTAGGCTACAAAATCTGCTTCAAAATCCCAGCGCTGTCGTCATCGTGTAAAGCCCGCCCCAACGTTTCTGATTGGTGCCGCGATTTCGGCGGATTGGAAATGAGCTTTAATGAACTCTTTGCCAGACTAACTTTCAGAGCAAATCTAAATTTGCCGGAAGTTGTCTGGGTTTTCGCAGGCTACTATTCTCTAGTAGAGTGAAAATATTTCATTTATAAATCTAGACTAAAAAACACATCTCTTTAACCTGTCATACACACAACACACTATCAATTTCTATTATTTTAAATCAGTTAAATGATTGCTAGGCTGCATAAATTAGGTCAACCGAAACTTGGAACACTTCCTAAAACACCCGATGTACTTGTTACATCGTAAGAAGAATGGCATCTACACTAATATTAGTCTGTCCGTCTCATCCTTATCCTGAGGTTACCGTAGTCAGCCGGATCCGGTCCATATTCAGATCAGATGTGGACCTGCACCTAGACACCTCAACGTAGCCCTGAATGTCAGCAGAGATCCTGTCAACTAGACAATCCCCTGTGAAGGCCTCGTCACAGATCCTCAGCAGAGACCACAAGAACCAGACAGGTCCTCCGCACAGACCCTATGGCCAGCTTCGGCTCCATACCGGCGTGATGAATCTGATCTTCAAGCAAAAGGAACTGGATGAATATCTGAATGCGACCGATCCTGATCTGAATTCTGACTTGTGATGCGGTCTGAGTCATAATCGCACCGTGTTCGTTCGTTGGCCAGAGGAGAACTGGCTGAGCCTGGTTCCTCCCAAGTGTTTTTTTTTTCTTCTCCATTCTGTCACCTGATGGAGTTTGGGTTCCTCTGGCTTGCTTAGTTGGGGACACTTAATATTCCACAATATTATTGATCTGACTGTACTGTCGCTGCTGTATGAGAACTGAACTGGACGATGACATCATTTTTTTGCACAACTGCTTTATAGATGAAATAAACTAGTTTAATAATTGATGATTTGAATCAACACTGAACTGACTTCAGCTTTCACTGTAAAGCTGCTTTGAAACGATCGGTATTGTATAAAGGGCAGTATAAATAAAGGTGTCTTGACTTGACATCATCGTCGATCTCCTGCGCTTGATCCTACGGTGTCACACTAGGACCTTAATATTACTCACCCCTTGACAGTACAGGCGGTTGAACTCGTCTCCAATGCGCCGCAGCTCCTGAGCGACCGTCATCTCTGGCCGCATGGCTCCAACAGGTGCTGCCATCTGCGCGCGCTGGGGGCTATGTTCGGGGAACCATACCTCTGAGAAACACAACGAAAGCCAAGTTTAAGACACTCTAAAGGCCTCTACACACCAAGAACCATAACTAATATTAGCATCCACACCAGTACACAATATCGTTCTGTTTATTCTAAGCGCGCACTTCTCTGTCACTTTAAATGCTTGAGCTCGTTGCAGCAGGATGGATTCTGATTGGCTGTCAATGTTTTTATCGTTCATCAGCTGGATAAAATCGTTCTGAAAGTGATATTGTTCCTCTGTGCCGTTATCGTTATAGCTATGTTGTGAACTCTGTTATTCCGTAATTTTTAGAACTATAACTTTTTGTTATCTTTTTAGTTATCGTCCTTGGCGTGAACGTGAACACTACCAGAGCTCATTCAAACCCCAAATGAAAGGGATGGGCATATGTATATATATGTGTGTGTGTATATACGAACAAAAATGTACATCACAATATTCTCAATTTTTATATGCATTGATATACATAACATGAAATACTTTTTTTCTTCTTCATTTTTTCAAAACTTAATGAAAGTTTCCTTTTGTCTTAATTAAAACGATGTCCAAAATAAAGCTATGTCTAACACAGATGAATGTTTTATTTTTTATTTAAAGTTATTTGCAATACAACAGGAATGATTTTTGAAAAATTTAATTTGTTTTAAATATTACAAAAGCAAAAAAACTACACAGAAGGCCAGGAGCAAACAAGCTTAATTTCGTGAAAACAAATACTCAATTCCACTTTTTTCTAACAAACATCTTCTCTCGTATATTGCATGGCATCCTCTGAAGCAAACAACTCTGCAACCTCTGGTTTAGTTTTTCCACGGCCAGTAGCATGATTTAGTATTTGCCAACGGTGTTAAAATGACACCTTCTGTCGTGGTAAGACTGAACGACTGAGGTTATTATGAGGCTAAACACTAATATCACCCAAAAATTCTGTCTGAACTCAAATTGATCTCCAGCTATGACTCAAGCGAGAAGCTGTTTGACTGTTATTTCTCATGCTCAATCATATTAGGACCATTGGATACTCATTTCCTTTCACAACTCGGCTAGACCTGTTCGAGTTGAACCAGACAATGTCTAAATATCACTTTAAGTTTTAGTCAACCCTTTCACCTCATTCTCCTGTGCCTTTAAATTACTACCCAGAGCCAGCAACAACATCTCAAACAAGGACAAATTTTGATCTAAATCAGTATCGGAGTAGTCGAATTGAATGCATGCTCTAATCTGGTTTTAGTTCAGACGTGTAAATTCAAGACCTTGTGCCAAAACAATGCAGCAGCTAAAGGTATAAACAAGCCACTGGTAGAGGAACTCTCCTGTCGAGCGAGCAACAGATGAGAGTCTTGATAAGTTATTGTTGTTTCTCTTCGCCATTAAGAGTGGCTACAGGAAGACAATTATCGCCATCTCATATCTCCTGGCTCTCAATAGGGAAAACAGAGATGGTTGGATCTCATGTCTAGCCTTCACAAAAGACCGGCTAGTCTATTTTGACTGCGTGCACTAAGGCTGATTCTCTGACTGCCTTATTGAGGCCTCGCTGACAGTGAAGGTAAACAAGAAGACAACAGGCAAATCAGCTTACTCCATCAGAGGCATTATGAGAAGATGTGTCTCAGGTGTATTGGGTTTGCAAGATGTTGTGAATGGACCAAGCAGGCCTTTCACAAACACACACACACACACACACAAAAAAAATTGCTAAACACTAAGCTTTTAATGGTCTTAACTACAAATTATTGGTCAGGAAATTTGCAGAATTTGAGCAAATGCATTACTTAAAAAGCCATTGCTGTCTCAGAAAAACATCAAAAAGCCAGATTGAAGTTTTTGGCAGAATATGAAAAGTTGTGTGTGGAGTGATGAATCACACTGAATAATGAGTAACAGGGTGATTCTCCAGAGCAGTGTTTTTGAAAATCTGCTGAGAAATATAATAATAAATGCATCTCTACCACAGTGAAGCATAGAGGAAGATGTGCCATTGTGTGTGTGGAGCCTTTTTAGCTTTTAGATTCACTGTGAAAAGTAATTTAAAACAAGTCCATCAGGCTCACGGTTTGGCCCAGTCAGAGTCCAGATTTGAACCCATAGCAAATATTTGGTTTCATATTAAACTCAAATGAGCTGGGAGACATTTTTCATGAACTGTTTGAAGCCATTAACATTGAGTGGAACGATACTGACTCCTTATCTACAGTATTTTTGCAATTCTTGCTGATTTCCTAATCAGTGATTTGAAATTAATGGTTAAGAACATAAATATTTTGTCATTTTGGTTTAGCCCTTTTCTCTTTTTTTTTTTCCCCCAGGAGTGTATAGACTTCAGAATCCATGTGCACTTATTTGCACAACGCAGTGAAAAGTTTGATCTTAACAGAAAGGAAATTCAGATTATTCCTTTTAGAGAAGCTGTCACAAAGATAAATGAGCAGATTTGGCTGTAGGCAGATATGTCCTGCTTCAAAATGAGAAGAACATGCTTTCTGGAAGAAATTCTCAAGACAAGTGCACTGCCAAGCAACAAAACACTATGCTTATCACTGTGCTAATGTAGAAAACTGAGGGCCAAGTTAAACATCCAAAGCACTTAAATGGATTACATTCATAACCAGCGAGTTGTGACAATATTAATATTTCTATGCACTTTTACTTGTACTATCTTTCACTGTTTATTGTGAGGGTTTTTCTTAAAGGGATAGTTCACTCAAAAATAAAAGTTCTGTCATCATTTACTCACCCGTATGTTGTTCCAAACCTGTATGAATTTCTTTCTTCTGCTGGACACAAAAGAAGATATTTTAAAGAATGTTGGTAATCAAACAGTTAAAGGTAGCCATTGACTTCCATAGTATTTTTTTTTTCCTACTATGGAAGTCAATGGCTACCGTCAACTGTCTGGTTACCAACATTCTTCGAAATATCTTCTTTTTAGTTCAACAGATGAAAGAAACCCATACAGGTTTGGAACAACATAAGGGTGAGTAAATGATGACAGAATTTTCATTTTTGGGTGAACTAACCGTTTAACCTTTACAGACCCAGGGACATTTTAACTAATTTAGAAATATTTTTTAAAGAAAATCTGTTTTATGTACCTGTCCACGGACCCCCATGACCAGGCCAAAACCAAACTGTCCCTTGTCTTTGGTAATAAAGTCAGAAATGGTAATAGATAATAATAAAAATATATGATAATGGGCTTTTTTTTTACTTGAAGCCGCATAAATGATCAATAATCATAAATAGTTAATTTTGTCACAATATTAGAACGCGCGTGTAGAATGCTCAGTCACACCAGGGCGGGAAACCTGCACTCGTCGGCTTTGATATTTAGATTTGCAATAATCAAATACTTAACGGACTAATCAACTGAAAGAAAACCGCTATCCGTCGCGTCAGGCGTCAGTGTTGTGTTTACACACCACAAAATTGTGCCCTTTTTTTCGCCAGGGGGCTCTTACCATCATTTTGGTCATCTTGCGCTTCGGAAATATTAGGCATTAGAGGAGAACCTGGCACAGAATCGCTGTCGACGGAAAAATAGCCACTAGAGGACCTGGAGAAGGTTCTGTACATCGGTGACCTCGATTGGTGACTATTCGACATGGAAATCCCTCCCCTTAACGGGTCCCCATCGCTCGGCTGAGGGAAGTCAAAGTGCTCGCCACCGGTGCTCTCTCCGATTCCCCGCGAGGCCGGGTCATTGGCCAGCGTTTGCTCTCTGCAGAACAAACAAAACACTCGTTACTGTCTTTTGCAAGCGTTTCGAAGAGGAATTGTGTGGGTTGTTGTCAAGGGGCTTAGAATTTCACGTCTATTTCGTGGGGATTAACATGCGTTTGGAAACCTAGCTTGCAGCGAACTCTATAAAGTAGCTAGTAACCCGGTGAAGTGCGTCACAAACGAGCTCCACTTCAACTTCCTATTTCTTCCTTACAGCAAAACAGTCTACATGTCTGGGATAAAACTCTATAACGCGCGAAGCGATCGTGTGAAACAGCCTACAGAATTCTACTTCGAGCTCGCGCTGTAGCGGAATGTACACGCATTCATCTTTCTTTGTTTCCAACTAGTCTAGAGAGGTTTATTATGTCTGGCTTTTTAAAATGAAAACACATCCCTGTAGAGTTCTCTCTGTAAACCAAGTAAACATTGTCAGTCACGCCGGCTTGGACAAACATCGAAGCAGCAACAACGACAAAAAAGCGAGAAATGTAGGCTAAATACAAAACAAAGAGAACAAACTCCATGTCATGCTGTTGTTGTGTCACTTACCGCTATATTTGTTGCTCTTGGGATTGTCAGTCACTACTTGATACCGACACGAAGCATACTTTACTGTCTGCTCATAGACGCGCGAGTTCTATCTAAACGCGCATGTCTACATTGCGATTTTTTTTTCTTCGGTTTTCTTTATTTATTGCTTTGATGTCATTTGTCAGCGAACTGCAAAGTCAGCATTTTACTGACAGTAATGAATGTACTGTACGAGGGAGTTTGACGCAACTAGTTTGCGATGCCTTTATTCTTTATTTAGTTTCACTTGTCAGCGATCTGTAATGTTCAGTATTTTACTGTCAGCGAGCGTGGAGTTTTTTCGCGATTTATTTTCACCGAAATAGAGCGGCGGGGAAACAATATCGTGCGCACCAAAACAAAAGTTTCCTATTAATAGGAGCGCGTCGACGCCTCCAAGTGTTCAGGCAAGCAGACAATAGCGCAAACTTAGGCGAGTATCAAATCTAAACAGACCGACAGACTGAGACGATCGTAAAAGAAACACGATCGTAAATAAAAACACGCATCGCAGAGCACATTCCTAATTACCATATTTTCCTGCCAGGAACACTTCGAGTCTTATTTCGAAAGTAAAACGCGAATAAATATAGCTTTTACTTTAGTAGGTAGGGTATAACTATAGAGCTTTAACAACAACCGCGGGTTTTTATCGTATTTACGCGTTTATTTTGAGTGGATAACGGCAAAGAAAACAAAGCAAACAGGTGCCTATCGTTATCCATTGCAAAACACAGTTGAATTATTCAGTCTGGTTAAATGTCAACACGGAATGGCCACTGAGGGGAGTGGACTCGTCTACTACATCTCAACTTCTGTTGTCTTTGGGACATTGTTTAGCTGGACACTAGCGACCAGACAGCGCGCATCTGAAGTTTCGCTTTTTTTCCTTTGCCGCCGCGCGCAACCTAAGTGTTTTGTGCGTTATGCTTCGCCAGAATAAAACGTCATCGCGGATAATAAAGCAATGCGAACTTGACAAATAAACAAAGCAATGCCCCGATTTCACCCATTTTGGGAGGTTTTAAATCACGGCGATCAAATGTTAAGACGCGTAGCCTATATTAAAAGCGTCCTTTTGAAAGACGATCTTACTGTTGAATTATGCAGAAAAAGCGCAATAAAGTTGCCTTAAAGCCGGCTTTCAGAACGATACCCCAGTATGAACTCACCTGGACGTGTCAGACATATCCGCGTAGGCATAAACGCGTTAGCGCATTGTGTTAACGATGAAGACGACAACAAAACGAAGGGTCAATTTACAAATATCCAGAGATTTAAAAAAAAAAAAAAAAAAAAAAGTTATTAAAGAAAAAAAGTAGTACAATTCCAATCTCAGACAATCGATGCCTCTAAAACTCTCGATGATTTTGCTTCCTTTGGAGTAGTTGTCATATAGGATCCTGTTTGTGAAATGTCCAGAGGATTGTTTTGGAGTGTGTCTTTTGTCTCGGTCGGTTTTAAGTGCACTTCCTCGCCAAGGCTCAGTCTCGTGCGTCTGCTGCGCGCTGCAAGTAGTTCTGAACTCTATTTTACTGAAGCGAACTCACAGTAGGCTAGAAGCCGAGTAAAGCCACGCCCACTGGGGATGGGCTTCTGATGGTCAAGCCCACAGATTCTTTACAATCCACACCATCAAGCTCCAAATGTACACAAACACTTTAGATTAAACTAGAACAAAAGCACTATAGTTCTTCTTTTGCATGGGCTATAGTCTCCCCTGTGGTATATTTCATGTTCAATCTGATTGAATAATGTTTGATCACAAGTGTCATGCAAAAGCACTAGTTCTTCTTTTGCATGGGCTAGACTCCTCTGTGGTGCATTTCATGTAGGCTACAGTCTGGTTGAATAATGTTTGATCACAAGTCTCTGAAGTCACAATGCTAAGGGTAATTTTCTAACAATGTAATGTTGCATGGAATACAAGCTAGGCTTACAATTGCTATGCTAAGCCTTTGGTATATGCATTTCATTCTGTTATTAATTAAACGATGGTTCACTGTTTGTGACAATATTACAACTTGCATCATTTACATAAAACAAATAGGAAAATAGCACGTGTTCCATCAGATTACATTGACAAGGTTCCAACAGTCACCGAAAACCTGGACAAATCAGGGAATGCAACAATTTATTTGCAAAACATTAGGGAATCTCCATGTAGCTGTAAACAAACGGATGTTTTTTGTGCATTAACGGAGAACTAAAACTTGAATAAGATAATTTGTAGTTTGGTCTAAACTAAATGTACAACTGTAGCATAAATGGACATCCCTTTAAAGACCCTGACTGAGCAGCTTATGCTAAACTAGAACCTTTTTATGACTCAAATGGTCAATAAAGGTACAACTGTGGCAGTTGATAGTGGCATTAAAAAACATAGCAGCTGTAATACATCATTGTCTTTCTAATTAACAAACATTGTATGTGTACAACATTGTAGTGTGGTATACTGTAACTCAATAATATGTGTACAAATATTCAATAAATATTCAATAACTGTGCCACGTGATGACTAATTACATTCAGGCTCTTCTTAAGAAAGTGTGTAAACTGCCTCTTGGCACTGCTCACCTGTAAAACTAAACCAACACACAGTTTATTATGCTGTTAGAGCTCAGATCAAGGCTATCGGAGCTCCTCTAAAAGTGCAAGATGTTCGGCATTTGATTTGGATCGTTTTGGTGTTTATCCCTACTTCCTATTTGAAATCGATTAGGCTAAAATCACTGAAGTGTTAAAAAACTGTAAGACAATGTGCAACTCGTATAACTGAAATTCCCTTTTCCATGTGCACACATTATTAAAAGGACGAGAAAAGGTAGTGTCGTCGAGGCCTTGGCCATTAGAAGAAAGTTATTCCATTCTTTTTTGGCGAAAACATGATGCTTAATCACAAAACTTCCTGTGCATTGACCAACTCCAATTAGTCGTTTCCTCTCTCACCCAAACATGCAAAACTGTTCCAAACTGATCAGGCCAGCTATCTGAAATCACTCAATCGTCTTCCATATCCTCATAAAGCCAGGGTCACGCGTGCTCAGAGCTTAGACAGATACTGTGGCTGCGAGTAGAAGGCCCATTCGGCCCTGGGGTTTGGGACCCCAGCGATAGGAGCCTGGATGCAGCAGGACGGGATGTTGAAGTCATCGACCACCTTCAGCGCATCATCCTTCACTGATCTGCACAGCTCCAAAAGCTTCAAAACAAGCAGACCACAATCACATGAGGGTTAATGCAGCCATTACACAACAATATCATAATAAATATATGCTCTAAGCAATGCCAGTGGTGCTTTCCCAATGAGAGACCGCAGACATAATTAACAATAAATTGCACAATTTTTCATTCATGTCCGTAACACAATTGGTGAGTGACATGTTGCATTTTGGATTTGAACAAACCCCTTTATCCCGAAGTATGATCAATAGGAGACACAGCTAATGACACTTGACACTAGTGTAAACAAATAGAGACAGTTCTGAAGGTACCAGCAGAACATTTTCTAAAACTGTAAGACACTGCAGTTTATCACGGAACATTCCAGCGCCCTCTGGTGGATATTAATAAAGCAGCGTTGAAAAACACTTTTTTTAACTTCCATTTATGCACAGCTACATCACAAGAGCTTTGTGTGTGGTGTAAAGTCATTCATGTGTGAGAAGAACACATTCAGACTGTCATGTCAGGGTCAAGAGAACAGGAATGATATGATCCCGCCTCAGCTGAGACCATTAAAGATCACCCCAATGTGATGAAACTGCAGAACCACAGCATGCTGGATCAGATGACATACTGACAGTACAAAACCTATTGCTGTATTTACTGTAATATTGAGCCTTAGTTTTGTGCTGTATGTCTTGTGGTCCCATATAATAGACTTATACTATGGAATAATTCTTCAGATCATATGCATATTGAGGAGAGGTGTGCTAGTGGTTTTCAAAAGAGTTTGAAAATCAGGGGGAAATTAGATAGATCTACAATATACCGATTAAAAGTTTGGGATTGGTAAATGTTTTGAAAGAAGTCTTTTATGCTCAACAAGGCTGCATTTATTTGATCAAAAATACAGTAAAATTGTGAAATATTATTACACTTTAAATGAACTGTTTTCTATGTGAATATATTTTATAATTTAATTTATTCCTGTGATCAAAGCTGAATTTTCAGCATCATTACTCCAGTCTTCAGTGTCACATGATCCTTGCAGCAAGTTTTAAATAGTGTGCTTAATAAAGAAACGATACAAAAAACTTCCCTTAAAGATAAACAAACATATGCACATTTCAACCAAGAATTTTGATGTATGATAAACAATAAAAAATGTAATGTATTTCCTATAATAGGAAAGTACTTGCTAAGAAATAAGACTAAAAACATTCAAAGTGATTCAATGATAAGAAACTTGGATTTAAACAGGGTCAACAAGGATTTAATTGCTATCAGTGCGTCCTTGATGAGGTGAGGTGTTGCGCTGATTCCTCAGACATCCTGCGTGAGTCACAATCCTGCTGTTTTCTCCCACATCGCCTGACAAAGAGTTAATTTATCGTCCTGACACTTTGGCTCCTGCTCAAGTGCTCCAGAGCTCAGATGAAAGACAAATGATCACAGCCTGTCAAAGCTCTGCTTGTGGATTTTGACTTTTATAACCCTGTACTATGAAACCCCCTCATTGTTCTGTTCGAGAAACACTCGCTTATCTGTGCCACATTAACGGTTGAAATATGTTTGGACACGTCTTGCTCAATAGCCGTCTGTCCAATGAGGAGTCTGAAACATGTCTGACCTCTCACTTTCTCTTTCTGCCTCTCTTTCCAGCTCAGATGAAAGAAAAGTAGCTCTATGTAGAGGTTACATGCCCGACCGAAACGGACAGATAAGGAAAGTGTGTAAACGGAGAGAGAGAGAGATGGCATGAAAGAAGAGAAAGGGAGACTAAATGAATTGGTTATTCATACACTTTGTAAAATGTAGAGAAGTTGGCTTCTCAGCACAGTAGGATGAACATGTTTTTTTACAGTAGGACAGCTTTAAGTAATGAACTTTATACTTTAAAAACCTCAATAAAATGGATTTTTGGAGTGAGATTACCGTTCAAACATTTGGGGTCAGTAAGGTTTTCAAATGCTTTTGTAAGAAGTCTCACCAAGGTCACAATATTAACTTTTCTTTTTTTAAAGTGTAATTTATTGCTGAATGTTCAGTATCATTACTCCAGTCTTCAGTGTCACATGATCCTTCAGAAATCACTCTAATATGATGATTTGCTGCTCCAGAAACATTTTTGATTATTATCAGTTGAAAAAAATTAAAAAAAATTGTGGGAAATATTTTTTCCAGGATTCTAGAAAGTTCAACAAAGAACAGCATTTATTTGACATAAATCTTTTGAAACATTATAAATGTCTTTACTGTCACTTTTGATCAATTTAATGCTTCCTTGCAGACTAAAATGATTAATTTCTATATATATATAAAAAAAATATCACTGACCCCAAACTTTTGAAAGGTAGTGTGTGTGTTAAACAAAACGTATTATTTCATCATCTATCAGGAGAAAAAAATGAGGAGCTCATTCAAATCTTTAAACCCAAGTCACCTTGGCAAACACAGTTCGACACACATATGAAGCGTAAAAGACACCAACAAATGTTTTTATGAGCGTAAAACCTGATTAAACCTTTGATCTCCAACAAGAGATGAAGCTTCAGCGCTGGAATGAAACGGTTGTATCGCCACTAGAGCGGCTGCTGACAGAAAATGAAGATGTTTGGCCACTTTTCAAAGACAATGAGGGGCATGAAGGTATATGGACAGAGGACAATAAACTCAGACATATCCTGGGGGGAAAACTGTGTTAACGCAACAAAAGCAACGTCACTGTTATTGATGAAGAGCTTGTGTCGAGATCAAGGTGACTGAATCAGTGCAGAGCTGGGAAATCTCATGTGTTCATTTAAATTATAGTGTGTGCGGAAGATGCAAAATCACAAATGAAATCTTTTTCTGTTTCTCCTAGACAGCGATGGGATTAAATGAAGAGCAAATTAAGGTTTCTGCTTTTCTCCAGAGAACCAGACCGCAGTAATCTCACATGTGTCTCGTCTGGAGCTTTGAAAGCAAATTTAGACAAGATGCCAAAGTCTGTAAAAGTCAGAGATCTCAATATGAACTCAAACATTTCTCCTCAAACTTCTTCTGCTCACCAAGGCTGCGTTTAATTGATTTAAATACAGTAAAAACATTAATATTGTGAAATATGATTACAATTTAAAAGCTCAGCATCATTACTCCAGTCCTCAGTGTCACATGATCCTTCAAAAATCATTCTAATATGATGATTTGCTGCTTAATCTAAGACAAGTTGATACTTAAATAAAACATAATTCATAGCTTTATGAAAGAGCAGCTTCTAAGCAATGACACTTACTAACCGAATAGTATGGTCTTCACTTACTCTTTGCATGTCCACAAAAATCCCCTCCAAACAGTTACTCATCACTCATAACGCATTACATAAAGCTCACAATTAAAAATAAAACACAATCTTCAACACTAACCCTCTGTGTTGGGGTGAATGAGTGTGTGTGTGTGTGTGTGTTCAGTGAAGCATGCGAGTCTGGCTCTAATGTTGACACGTGTAATGATAGGAGAGTGTGTACAATAGGAGTCATTCTAAAGAGCTGGAGCCACACACAGAGAAATCACACGTACATGTGAGGATCTCATGCACTGATACTGTCCTCACACACTCAGACCTCACACACACAGACTTACTCAACAACATGCTCACGGACATTTCTTCTGACTCACTCATCACCACACACACTCACTCACTAATTAGTGTCAAGTCAAGCACTATTACTGCTGCTCATTCTTAGGTTAGTGACCTGAACGAACCCATAACCTGAGTATGAAACTTCAGCTCCATTTTCTGGACATTTATCACACCTCAGATCATCAGCTCTCACAGAGATGGACTGTAAATTGGACTTAAGTTGCTAAAAATAGATTCAACTTTGGTCATAAGCAATTGACTGGGACTCCAAAGTGAAGAGTCTTCATGTCTGCAAAAAACAATATTTTCTCTGAATATCGTGACAGATAAATGTCGACAGTCTTTCACGCACTCTCTTTTATGAAACGAAGACGAATTTCAGTAACACTAGTTTAGGGTCCAAATCTCACTATTAACTAGTTGCTTATTAGCATGACATTACTAGGATATTGGCTGTTTATTAGTACTTATAAAGCACTTATTCTGCATGATCATATTCTACAACTCTTGATCCAACCCAATACCTAAACTTAACAACTACTTTACTAACTATTAATAAGCAGTAATTAGTAGTTTATTGAGGCAAATTAATATCAGGGTTAATAGGCAAGGCAAGTTTATTTATAGCACATTTCATACACTATGGCAATTCAAAGTGCTTTACGTAGAGAGGAAATAATCACAAAATAAAAGCAAGGAAAATTCAAACAGTTATTCAATAGCTTTACATAGAAAATAGACACTAAATAAAAGCAGGGGGAATTAAAGCAGTAATAAAAGGAATTAAAGGAGATAAATGATACAGTTATAAAATTAATTAGAGTAAAATTAATTAAAATAGTAAAAAGATGATGCATAGAATGAACTTCTCATCTGGCAAAACACCGGTGTATCTTATTTTGACTCTGAGATTCAGTATTGAGAATTGGACTCTAATCTAAAGTGGGACCCAAATTTCATGAGGAAAAAACTTGCCAAAAGTTGTTCAGTATTTTAGCGGGAAAGTCTCACTGATTTACACCACTGTTCCAAAGTTTGGGGTCAAAGATTTTTAAAAAGAAATCAATTATTCAGCTAGAGGCATTCAATTGATCAAAAGTGACAGTAAAGATGATACGTTTCATAGAAACGTATCATAGAAAACACTTATTTTAAATTGCAATAATATTTCACAATATTGCTCTTTTTACTGCATTTTGTATTAAATAAATGCAGCCTCAATGAGCAGGAGAGATTTGTTTTCTATCATTCTATCCTTTTTTATTTTTTTTTTAAATCTAATGGTAGTCTATAATGATTAAACTATTCATTTCAAGTAAATTAAAGATAAATTATCTTTTGATTCAAGTACAACCTCATGTATACTACTTTCTTTTATAGAAGGATAATGTAATGAACAAGGAAATCCCCTTGAAACAACATATTCTTCAAATGTATTGAAATGAACTGCGTCGAAACAAACATTTTGAAAAGAACGCAACGAAAGGGATTTGACACTCAGTACTGTTTCTACCACTCAGAGATGTTCTGGTTTAACTTCAGCAGCCATTGACTCTCAGATCAATAACAAAACGTAATGTCAATCAAAGCTCGCTGAGCCTGCATGCCATTATTTGCATGGCTTATTCCACAGCATGGAAAGAGATAGGCAAAGATGCTCAATCTTATCTGTCCAAAACATGTTTTCAACTTGTCTGAGGATAGATCCTTTCTTCAGCAACTCAACTAAAAGCAATACAAATCTAGTGACTCCCAACATAAACATGAAAGTCACAAAGGAATATGTTAATGCTCTTGCAGCTCAGAGGACATAACGCAGTTCTCCATTACGAGTCTATAATAATAGACACAAATAAGCCAGAGGTTAACATACAGCAGGAGTATAAAGCTATGATAGCAGTTTATTTGGCATATTGAAACTTTTGGTAACACTTTACACCAAGGTCTCATTTGTGAAAATTAGTTAATGCATTAGTACTACATGCGTGCAATATATTTTTACAGCATGTACTAACCTTTGTCAGTGGACGTTAGTTTATAAAAATACAATTGTTCATTGACACAACATTTGATTTTAAAAATGTATTAGTAAATGTAGAAATTAACATTAAGATTAATAAATGCTGTAGAAGTATTGTTCATTGTTAGTAACTAATGTAATGAAACCCTATTGAAAAGCGTTACCATATTTTTTGAGCACAACGGAAGATTACTGGGGCCAGATGTAAAAAAAAAAAGACTTATGCAAAGTCTAAATTGGCTCTCCATTTAATCTCAATGCTGTCTAGGAGGAACTTATTCATTCGTGATTCCTACGTGCGTCCTTAAGAAAACCAGCAAACAGCAGCTAATTATAAACAAGCAATCGGGTTATTTTCGTCACGTTATGCAGCCTGTCACATGATAAATGATCTTCAATAAGCCATTGAAAACATGTAACAATAGTTGATAATATGAGCACGCTGAAAGGAAGCGTAAGCACATGCCTTCAGTCACGTGTGGCGCTCTGGGAGAACAGAGGGGGTTGTTTGCGCAGAGAGAGCGGCTGTGTTGGGTTTGTTGGAGTGGTAAACATGCAGTAAAGCACCTGCTGACCGCATACTGACAGACCGGTGTCAACCCTCTCGGCTCCGGTGTGGGACAACCCCGATGAGGGCGCCTGGATGTTTAATCACAGCTAATTGTGAACAACTGGCCACTTTTTGTGTGTGTGTTGGAGGCGGGCGCTCGATCAATACCCCCTTTGCTAATGTTCACATTCTGCCATTCTCCGTAAACACAGGCTGATGAGCAAAGGTTTAATGAGGAGATCTAATCCCAAACAGCCTCAGATGGGCAGCAGAAAGGCTTTGCGCCTCTTGAACTGCCTAAAGTCTGATTGACAGCGCGCTGAGACTCTCCTGATGGGCTGTTTTCAACACAAATGTTTCTTGAGCAGCAAATCAACATATTAGAATGATGTCTGGAGTATCATGTGACACTGAAGACTGAAAAGTGCATGCTGATACGCTCCTGATGTGACTGATGGTTAAATGGGTTGGTACCTGGCTGCGGATCTGCCGGCTGGTGCCTGCGGTCAGGTAGTTGTGCTCAAGATACCACGCTCTCTCCTGGTACACCAGACTAGTGCCGTGAAGAAGGCAGAACTAGAAGAGAAACAGGAAAATACGTAAAAAAAAGACATAACTTAACCCATAGGGCTGATTTGCACATCTTGAATCTGTATAAGTGATGCATACTAACTCTTTACTTGAAGCTCTTGTGTATAATGCATTATAAAAGTATTCATAATGCATGTTATAATGCATTATATTGTTTATAAATAAAGTTAAAATGCATTACAATGTTTGCAGATTCCTTGTTACATCTGAAACTGCTTGTTTGTCATGTGTTAAATGCGTTATAATGTACTTTATAAAAGTGTAACAATGAATAGATACGTATTAAATCTGTGGTTACAATTCTTCATGAGTTCTTACAATGCATTATTTCTGTCAGGAGCACTATCGTCAAAGACAATTGACAATTCGCCTTTGGCTAAGCCACACCCTAGAATGTAGATTGACCAATCACAGCGCAGCCAAGAACGAGCTCCCACAGAGGTCCGACACTTTTTCACAGCGCTCCATTGACTTTAACACAGGCGTCTCATATTTTTGGTCTCGGCAGGCTATTATACCGTCGTAGTTTTATCAAAAATATGGTTAAACGTTGTGCCTGGGGCATTTGTAACAAAGATACGCGTTTCCCAGAGAGGTTGGAGGGGGGTGTCCGTTTTTTTCCCTTCCCAAACCGAAGTCAAATCCTGACAAGTGTCGTCTAGCACACGCTGCTAATAAATACAACGTTATACTCGTGTAGTCCGTTTGCTTTGTAATAACGATTATAGAAGTGAATAGAGACCTACCCAGCTTTGCATGAACAGATATTGTTAGTCCCAGCCTCCGTCTCGATTAGTAGGATATGCGGTGGTTCATTTTTTTGACTGTGACCGGTTTGCTTTTGCCTCTATTTGGATGCCTTGTTTTTCCTTGCGTTTCACCTGCATGTCGTGAATATAGCCTTCGAACGTATATTGCTGCCCCTTTTGCCTACTTCTATCGGACACTTTATTTGCTGCGCCTGCTTTATAAAAGTTTGATAAAATTTCAGCAGGAAGAGCTGTCACAGCATAAGCCATGTTGATACCAGAGCCCAGATGAAGTGTGTTTGACGGACGTAGCAACAGTAACTAAGGGGGGCGGGGCTTAGCCAAAGGCAAATTAGAAAACTGTACAGTTTGGATTGGCGGTATGTTTCCGTTCTGGGCGAGAACTCCCTGTCAGCCTAGCATGGATAAGAGCAGGAGAGCAGCAATAACCCGCCTTAGGGTAAACACAACAGAACCAACATGAATGTATTGCAGATATCATTCATGTCAATACTTTAATGTACAACATAAATCCAGAAATTTATTCTGATTCAAGGGGAATCAGAATGCCAAATCCTGACTGGAGAAGAGGAGGAGCTGGGGATGGAGGAGGGTAATGAGCTCCTGAGAAACACGAGAGCTGCTGATAATACTGAAGGAGCTTATATATGTATACAGTGATAGGCGTTGTATTCCTATAGGTAGACGTGGATCAGCTGAGGGTCACTGATGCGAGCTTGACTAACGTGACCTTCCAGAACTGGTGCTACGCTTGATGTGCATTACGAGGAATAATTAATGCATTAAAAATGCTTTTATATAATATGAGTAACACTTTATTTGAAGCATTATATACTGCATATTGCAGTATTCACACTGCAAATCACATTGAATATTTCAAACAAATTCTAAAAAGCATTGCAAGTACACTTTTGTTGTCTATTTTGTTGCATGGGTTAGGGTTAGGGTCAGACTATGGCTGGGAATCCACTCCAAAGAGAATTCACTATATCTGTGGTCCACTACGGACTTCACTAATTCTCACAGAATAAGAACAATTATTAAAACTTTATAGTTATTGCAATTGTTACTTCCTGATTGTATTAATTTTCTTTGAAGCTGCTTTGAAACAAAATGTACTGCGAAGAGCGATATACAAATGAACTTGAATGGAATTGACTTGTTATAGTCATTGTCTTTGGTGTGGACGGCCCAACTGGACTTTCAACTAAAAGCACATCTGGACCATATTGCAATTATTCTGGCCAAGAAACACCAAAAATGACAGGAAGAGCACAACTGAAAGACATGAAAAGTGACCGACTACTGTCTGATTTATTTGCTCAAACAGTAGAGCGTGACGCTTGGTATGATTCCCAGGGAAAGCAAGAACTGATCAAATGTGTACATTGCATGTAAGTGGCTTTGGATAAAAGCATCTGGCAAATGCATAAATGTAATGTAAACATTTTAATATCTCTAGATGTACTTAAAGGGATAGTTAGGGACACATTCTAGCATACTACTCCTACTATTCCTGAGAGATATGGTAAAAATAGTAAGAGTAGTATGCTGGTATGTGGTTCCGAATTCAGCATGTGTAAACTAGCCAATCTTACGCTCTTATCATTATTGTATGCAAAATGCATCAGACAGTCCATGAATGCTCTGTAGGCGTGCCGCCATCTGAGAGCATTCAGAATTAGCACAATGCAAGGTCGAAAAATGTGAGTGGAAAGATACTTGCTGACCCCTGTATGTTATTTTCCATAACTAAAGGACCCTATTCGAGCTGTAGGCCTCTTCACATGCGAGCAGCTTGAGTGAGTACAGGATGTCATACAGAAGATGAAGGGGATGGAAAAACAGTAGCGGTATGAGCTAATATCTCTTCTCCACAGAGGTGAGGTAGCAACCAAACCACCCAGCTACATCAAAGAGCTGGACAGGAAAAAACACAGCATGCAAAGCACCAGTTGTAAAGCATGGACACTAAGAGGAATACTATAACCTTTGACCTCATAGCAAACAGCGGTCAGCGTGTTCACTAGAGCTTTTTTATGCACGGTAGCATCTTGTTTTTTAATTAACGCTGAATCAAAGCAACATAAACACTCTGTATAGCAACCGTAGCGGTGTACAATATCTCTCGCTCTCGTTCTTTGTGTTCTGCTCTCTTCCTCATATGCAAACCAGAGAATCGATGGCTTATCGCAGAGCTATTAAGTTTCTTATCAGTCCATGCTGAACAAGTGTTGGACTGAGATGGAAGTCACCTTGTTAGCGTGTCAGCTTTGGGAACTGAAACCATGCGCATCACGCACAATCATGAGAACGACTGAATAGTAATTCTTAAAAGCATAAAGACCCCAAGAAATTACTTGAAGTTGACAAGCGTAGTTTCCTTTCCTGTTTTGAAATGAAGGAAGTTGGGAACAATTAATAGCCATGACGCTTTAGTTACGTCATAGCCATGAACTATGATTTGCTTCTTAGTAGTCAGAAACAGTTAAACTAAACTAAAAGAATAGTACTTTTTTTATTAGTGTATATTATATATATACACTCACCTAAAGGATTATTAGGAACACCATACTAATACTGTGTTTGACCCCCTTTCGCCTTCAGAACTGCCTTAATTCTATGTGGCATTGATTCAACAAGGTGCTGAAAGCATTCTTTAGAAATGTTGGCCCATATTGATAGGATAGCATCTTACAGTTGATGGAGATTTGTGGGATGCACATCCAGGGCACGAAGCTCCCGTTCCACCACATCCCAAAGATGCTCTATTGGGTTGAGATCTGGTGACTGTGGGGGCCATTTTAGTAATGATTGGAGCTTTGTGACATGGTGCATTATCCTGCTGGAAGTAGCCATCAGAGGATGGGTACATGGTGGCCATAAAGGGATGGACATGGTCAGAAACAATGCTCAGGTAGGCCGTGGCATTTAAACGATGCCCAATTGGCACTAAGGGGCCTAAAGTGTGCCCCCACACCATTACACCACCACCACCAGCCTGCACAGTGGTAACAAGGCATGATGGGTCCATGTTCTCATTCTGTTTACGCCAAATTCTGACTCTACCATCTGAATGTCTCAACAGAAATCGAGACTCATCAGACCAGGCAACATTTTTCCAGTCTTCAACTGTTCAATTTTGGTGAGCGCTTGCGAATTGTAGCCTCTTTTTCCTATTTGTAGTGGAGATGAGTGGTACCCGGTGGGGTCTTCTGCTGTTGTAGCCCATCCGCCTCAAGGTTGTGTGTGTTGTGGCTTCACAAATGCTTTGCTGCATACCTCGGTTGTAACAAGTGGTTATTTCAGTCAAAGTTGCTCTTCTATCAGCTTGAATCAGTCGGCCCATTCTCCTCTGACCTCTAGCATCAACAAGGCATTTTCGCCCACAGGACTGCCGCATACTGGATGTTTTTCCCTTTTCACACCATTTTTTGTAAACCCTAGAAATGGTTGGAGGTGAAAATCCCAGTAACTGAGCAGATTGTGAAATACTCAGACCGGCCCGTCTGGCACCAACAACCATGCCACGCTCAAAATTGCTTAAATCACCTTTCTTTCCCATTCTGACATTCAGTTTGGAGTTCAGGAGATTGTCTTGACCAGGACCACACCCCTAAATGCATTGAAGCAACTGCCATGTAATTGGTTGATTAGATAATTGCATTAATGAGAAATTGAACAGGTGTTCCTAATAATCCTTTAGGTGAGTGTATATATAACCAACCAGCTATGAGGTGAATCATAACATTGCAAACTTTTGAAGCAAAAATGTATTTGAAAATTGGACGAAAAGTTGTGTACTTAACAACTTTAATAACTACAATTCCATGAAGCATCGCAAATTACATAATTGTATTAAAACCGATAGAGAAATGTTGTTGGTCATGTAGAAACAGCATATTTGAGTGGGCAAGATTGGTTTGTCCCGATTCTCTGATTAGTGGAAATTTCTTTGCAGAATCATGGATAATGAGGTTTTTCTGAGTAATTCGGTTGTTAAATATTATTTAAAATATAAGTAAGGAATAATTGATGACAGGCAGTTGAGTTATTAGAAAGTTCACACCCGAGGTGGTAATGCGGCCACGACGCAAAGGTGGTGTGCATTAATATTTTCTAATAATTTAATGGACCGGAGTGAATTATTCCTGACTTATACTACTTTACCACACCACAAAACATTGTTCAGAAGTTGTTTTTCAAGACATTTGTCAGGTTTTTGTCCTTAAAACACTCTTGTGTGTAGGACTAATTTCTTTAGCATCTCATCCCACGACTCTATTGCCAATTCCAAAACATAAATTTAACTGAGGCTGAAGACATTGATAGCAGACGAATGCCGTTATTAGAGAGAGAGAGAGAGAGATTAAGCGTGTGTGAATGACCTCAGTCTGTGTGTCTTTCAACAGTGTTCGGCAGCAGCGTCTCCACTAATAGCGAAACTGTAAGTTTATCTGCTTCAAGAATAACGCCGTTATTACATCGCTAGTGAGAAATGTCTTGTAACTTTTCTAAAAATAGTTTAGAAAAATTGCTAAACTATTTTACTGGTAAAATAATCAGAGCAGTGCTGGCAACAGGTTTCTGTGCAAGTGTGTGTCTGTACTGTATGTGTGTGTGTTTGAGTGGGAGAAAGAGAGTATGTGCTTTCCATACATAACAAAATGTAATTTTGTGGCAAAAACATGGAAATAATTTGTTGTTTTTATCCTATTGTTGACTATATTTATTTGCTTGGTCAGTTTCGTTGCGGGTTTTGGTTCTTCTGCTGTTGTAGTCTGCAAAAACCTTTGAAATAACTGAGATCATTTGGCGTAGTGATATGAAACAATAATGCGGTCAAGACCTGCCTGGAACTACTTTAGCAGAGTGTTTCCCTGAAAAAAATGTAACACCTTAGAACGTTTGTCAACCAATCAGATTCAAGCATTCAGCAGCCCCGTAGTATAAGTTGAAATAATGCACTGATGGCTTAAACAAAAGAACAGAGCAGAATAAACAACCTCACAGCAGGTCTGTCTTTAACAGTTAGAAGTATAAATTTCCCTATGGAGAAAATTCTACTCTGCACTCTATAAACATTTAAAACTAAAAATAATTATTGTATATCATACAATATTCTGTAGGTAGGAAGTTAGTATTCCATTCAGAAAACTCCAAAAACATTCAAATTAGTTCTTATATGAGTAATTATCAGCATGCTTTAGACAGAAGCAGAGTTAGGACAAATGCAGTCTAGAAACATGGATGTGAAATGTCAGACTGAGGTAGGATCACAGGTCCCATGACTGTGCGAATCGTAAGCAACAGAAGTTTGAAGAAACAGGTGGAAGTGAGGTTTTCCTGTTCCTCACTGGTGCGCTTTGTCTCTCGATCACAGGACTAGTGTGACAGCACACCTCATGACCTGCCAGGAACGAGGTCGTTATCTGAGATTTGTTCATGTTAGCTGCTCTCCAGAGGGCCTGACAGCTGCTGTCAGCAGGTCTCAGATCAGTGCGGTCGGTTCTGCTCCAGCGCTCAGAAAGCTAATCTGAGACTCATATGACTGCAGCACACATCCTGATACGTGTTTTAGCTGTGTCATATCAGTGCCAATTAAAGCTAAAGTGTAAGTGTGACTCGTGGTCATGCTGAATGAGTGATGCAACCTTTTAGTACAATGCTGTGCCACAAAAACCTGAGATTAATAGTTCAACCAAAAATGACATTTCTGTCATCATTTATTCACCCTCATATCATTGAAAACCTGTATGACTATGACATACGGAGATCTGAGGCTGAATGTTTACTCTGCTCTTTTTGTATAAAGAAAGAGAGAGAGATTCGGGGTCCTTAAAGGACAAAAAACACCTTAAAAGTATATATTTTTAAAGTATTCCTTTTTCTGAAGCCACATTATAGGTTTTTGTGAGGAACACATCTAATTTAAGGCATTATTAACTGTAACTCATACAAGTTTCCAATTACTTATGGTAAAATGATGACATTATTTTCATTTTTGGTTAAATTAATGTCAGCATGAGACTTATTTGTAACACATTTCACTTACATAATGTGACATTTTCAGGATATTCAATAAGAAAAGAGCTGTGCAGTTTTTTCCCTTTCATTGTGCACCTGAAGAAAAGAAAAAAAACGTTTCACAAGCAAAACCACCAAATGTCTTTTTTTTGTCTGTGTTTTTGAAAACATATTGCTAGCAAATCTTTCTCTCTTTTTTTTTTTTTGCAAGTGCATCAAAGAACCCTTTTGCTTTGTTTTTCACTTGCATCAAACAGTTTGCTTGCATTTTTTTCTCATATATTTCCATCCAAGCAGAGGTATATATATATACACACACTTTATATATTTTGATGAGAATATTAGGTCCGGAGAGCCAAATCTATGGCATCTGAGAATTAAAAATAAAATTCAATATTTCATCAGATGAGTCCAATTGGGATATAAATATTAAAAGGTAAGATCCGAAGTTTTATCAGGCTATTATTATCTATGCATATGTATGGCAAAAGGCCATGTGACCAATAAAAGATACTGTATTGGGGTTCAGGATTTTCCTTTTGAAGTCTGAACCATTTTATATTTTGCTTAAAATAAGTATGTACAAAGACCAAACAAACAACATACATAATATTCAAAATGCTCTCATTCTGAGCAGAAAACAAAGTCAACTAGTCATTTCAAACTTTTAGTTGTCTTTTCCTGCCATTTACAAATAATCCTCCCAATTATAACATAGTTTATCACCAAATGTCCTTAACATGCTGATTAGGCCTAATGATAAATGTAGATAAAAAAAAAAGTCTTGTCACGAAACCTGCTTTGAACGCTCAGAGTCATATACTGTATGTATGACCGATAAAAATAACTAGGTTATATTTACTGCATTCTCATTTTCTGAAGCGTTTTAGCAAAAGGATATATTTTTTGCTGCTCACGTGTTTCTGCTACTGTTAAAATAACTGCGTCATCTGCAGCTCTTCTAGCGCTTTACGTCTGTGTGGGAGAGAGAAGCAATGTGCACGGAGCGGAAAGGGCTTGAATGAGGCGTTTGGCTCTAGATAAAAAATATTAGAGGATATAGCACTGAATTATCATTACCATAAAACAGCCCTGAGTGCTAATGGTGTAACGCTGTTGTTTTGACGCGCTGCTCTCTTTAAACTGCAGAAATAGTCAAATGGTGCTACAGTTGCTGCATTTTGTCATGTGGTCCGTTTGAAACCAAGTCGGGGTCCGGAACCGGACTGCGGACCGCTATTTGAGGATGCATGTTCTAGGTAATTACTAGGGCGTTACCATGTGGTTCCTAAGGTGTTCAAGATGGTTGCTCACTGGCTCAAGTCAAAAGATGCCACTCACATGCCTGAGGGTTTACGGGTGGGCTGTTTTGACTGCAAGCAACCACCCAGAACACCAAAGGACTGTGGTGAAGAGTTTTGCATGGGAAGCACCACACATTTTCTTGTAAAATGTAAAAGTGTGTTTTTATTCTGGTCTTTTTCACTAATTTAGCCCCCTTCTAAGAAGCCTCAGAACCATGACACTGATGTAAGGGATGCAGTTTTTTTCTGCAGTCTGCATTTTCCAAACACGTGGTCAAGAGTGGAATCCTCTGAAATCTCCCTGCGACGATGAAAAGCGCAGCTTATTGTTTTTTGAGTGGGCACGAGGTTGTTGTTGTTTCTGAGAACTTTCCATTGGAACCGGCTGATGAGTCAAAAGACAAAAAGAGTGTCATGTGGCGCGGCAGACAGAGCAGAGCAGAGCTTCACACGTACCTTGGTAAGCAAGGCATGGTCCTCTTTGATATGGCACTCTTGAATGGCGAGAGCAAACTGCTCCAAGGTCACTGCAGAAACAAAATTTTCAAAAATACAATATTATTAATAAGATGGTTTAAACCCCCCTGAGGTTTAAGTTATTTGCATAAAAGGTCCTGTTTACATATTAAGATGGGTTTTGGTTTATCGGATCACAAGTAGACGAGGGAGACACATTCCCGTTTACACCTGGTTTTTAATCCGTCTCTTTTGTCCACTTTAACCACTTTTGTCCTGATTTCTGATTTTTGGGTAAATCTACAGGTTTTTCAGATCTTTTGATCTACTGGACAAAATAAGCTCAAGCAATTTACATATGAACGTGCCCGGAGACGACAGAAAAACAGACGGAGAGCATCAGCTTTAGTTTCTGCTCTGACAGCCACAAGTCCAGCCGAACGCTGTGAGTGTGTGTTAGAAATCAGGAATGGTGAGAGAACATTGTGTTTGGTACGTTTTTCGTCTTCAAACCAAACTTGGGTCTTAAAGTTTAAATCCCGTCTGGCTAGTGTGCTTCCAGAATGTTTACGCTTTAGGTCAGTAGGCGGTCAGAGAAGACGGTCTTGTGTGGCTGTTCGAACACATTCGACCACATGAGCATTTACACTGCGAAATCAATCCGGTCGAATGAGTTTTCACCTCTGGAAGTGGTTAAAAGTGGACAAGCTCAAAACCTTTTAGACTCCATTTACACCTGTATTTAGCGTCGTCCACTTGTGATCCGATTGACCAAAAACGCATCTTAATTCGTTTTTCGGACAATTTTTCAGCTTCTCCCTGAGCCTTAAAATGAAATGTGCCTGTCCCTTTAAGAAACACTCCTTTCACATGTGAAATGAGAAGCAGCGCTTTGATACACCAAAGTCTGATGCACCACCAGGCAAACTTTGTTTTTTTATCTACTTGAAAGAGGAAAGACCAAAACAATATAAAACAAAACATAATTCAAATCATAATATTTTAAATTCAGCTAATGTGAATTTGCATTCTAGGAAGAAAAAAACTGTACCAAAAAAGGTGTTGAAACTCTTTTAACTGAAAGGTGGGACTTTCAAACCTACAGCCACATTATTGAGAATAAATGATTATTCGTCTCTTTGATCAACTCAATAACTGTGCTTTTTTGCACTGGGGAGGAAGTCTTGAGTTTTGAAAGTAACAGTAACATTGTCATAGTGCATCAAGCTCTTTTATCTCTAAAGATGAAGTAAAATTTGATTGCTCATGATATGAGCCCTTTAAAGCAGCTTTGAATGTTTAACAACTTATTTGCATTAATATTTTCCAATGTATAGATATTGTTGCGTTTGTGCAGATTTGATCCCATAGTTTGAACCGACAACTATGCTTGAATTTAAATTCAGAGTTTCCTTACATGCACTATGTGACTATATTTCAGATAGAGTCTATATTTCAGATTGGGGGGGGTCAGGCATTGACCAATGTAAGTATAGCAATGAATATTCTGTGATCTGTGGCTATTACTATGTGTTACAATCATATACAAGTCAGTATTAATATCATAAATGAAAGAACAGACTGGAACACTGGTATAAGGTGTGAATAAAAACCCCTCATCTCAATGTTATCAGCCCCATCTCAGAGAAAATTAGCGCATGATCTCTCTGTGTGTGTAAGTGTGTGGGAGGAGGGTGAGAGAATGGAAATTTGCTATCAGGGGAGGAAAATATATCTTGACACACAAACCCATGTACGGTACACACACACACACACACACACACACACACACACACACAGCATGTGGAAATACTCTAGAACATCAGAGGCTCAGAATGCACAAGACTTCTCTGTTGCTTACTGAGTTGTACGAGTGAATCAGAAAGTCAAAGGGAAGTGTAACAGTGTCTGTAATGATCAAAGACGTGTGGTGAGTTTATAATCTGCACAGGCACATGAATCACCTACTCTAAACCTTACAATCTTTTAAAATGCACATGCACTGTGCTTGTGTTTGGGACACATTTAAGTGTAAAATACTGAAATAATTTTATTGTATTTTCCAGGACAAATATATCAAAATAATAAAATTTACTTCAACACTTCTTGAGATATTAAGGATTACTACAATTTTGTTGATGTGTTATTATTGAATTATATTTTTTTTTAAAGTATTATTAAATATTGTTTTCATTATTTTATAAATGAATTTTGTTAAAATAGATAAATGGTAACTCAAATCGGCAACTAAAATTTTTCTAATCTTAAGGATTTTTAGACATTTTCACTGGATAATATAAGACAAAAATACTCATTAAGAATATGCTTGGCATCCTAAGTATATTAATGTATTAAAGTCCCCTTGTAGTCAATCATTTTATCCCTTAAAATCACCAAAATTACATATTGAAATGTTTTTTCCTTGAAAAAAAAAATATTCTTCATGCCTTAAAATAGCTTGAATGTAACTCTACACCCTTGCCTCATTTAGTATACGCGGTTCTATAGAATATGCAAATGAGCCCCGCCTCCACTCACTCACTCAGCTCAGAGATCCACTGGTTGACGATCGCACGTTGATCTGATTGGTTACAAGGTCGTTTGTGACATCAGAAACACCAGTGATTTCAAACCGTGTTTTTGAGACTGTCTTTGGTTCACTGCAGTTTTACGGAGAAAATACTCAGCAATGCTGTCGACTTATGAATTTGCAAATGGTTTGTCTTAAAGCATATTAAAAACACCACATAGACATATAAACAACATTAAAAGCTTGATTTTCACCACAGGGGTAGTTTAATGTAGAAATGTCATTTAAGTTGAAGGTAAAACCATCTGGTAGTTCTCCTGGCCAAGTTTTTCTGTGACTGAATTTGTCTAGTGAATTTGTCCAACAAATTCACAGTGGCCAAAAAGTACAAAAAAGGTATTTGGAGACTTGAGTCACACTTAAAAATGTCTAAATATCAAAACAAGTGTCATCTGCAAACCAATTTTCTCAGAACTAACTTTCCATTTCTAAGCCATTTCTGTAATGACTTTTCACAAAATTTTCAAGATGAAAACAAACTCTGGTGCGATTGCTCTGCTAGTGCGGTTCATTTGAATAAGTGTGAACGCTGCTAGCCGAACCCTAGTGTGCACCAAACAAGCGGAGCGAGACGCTGAAAAGATGAGTTTAGATCCGCTTCCAAACAAACTCTGGTGCCGTTCAACTGAAATATGAACACAACACGGACCAAAGACATGTTTGATGATGTCACAAGATGCAACCCTAAAAAGGACAGAATGCTCAAGCCTGTTTTTTCTCATCATAGTCGCGTTGTTGCCCATCACAGTTCAGTACTGGCATCAGAACCACGTCTCCTCGCAGCAGATCTTTGTGTGTGTGACTGACACTGTTTTCACTCCTTTACGCATTTTATAAGCTCTTCACGAGTTCTCAGCTGGTCAAAATACCATCATGTAGGCTACGCACATACAACGAGCGCATTTAGCCCAGAACACAGCATTGTTTTGGATGTTCAATCGTGAAATTACATTTACGCATTTGGCACATTTACATTACATTTAAGCATTTGGCAGACGCTTTTATCCAAAGCGACTTGCATTGCATTTCAAGGTCCACATTTACATTCTTATCAGTTCTTGGTTTTCCTGGGAATCGAGCCCATGACCTTGGCGTTGCAAGCGCCAATGCTCTACTGTTTGAGCTACAGGAGGGCTACGAAATATACGTCATAAAAGCCGACCAATCAAGTTGTGAACATATCCTATGCTTTTAGGTTCGGTATCTTTAGGCTCAGTGTTAAAATGCCAATGTGAACGCTAATCGGAACAGGACTAAATGTTTTTTTTTTGGTGCGGACCAAACAAACCAAGCGAACCGAACTACAAGTGTAGTAACACACACCCTAATGTTTAGATAACATTAGATGACATTCAGGCATTTGGCTTCAGCGTCCAAATACTTATTGGGATCATGTACATATGACATCCGGGCATCCTTCAAAGTTTTCTATGAGAATATGCATGAGAAAAAGTACATTTGCAGAAATATATTCAAGCAAACAAGGGTAACAGATGAACTATAAATACAAATAAACTTCCCCTTTCGCTCACCTTTGTGTATGTGTGCCATTGCCAAAGTGATCACGTGATGTAAACAAGCGTTCCAGGCCATAAAAAACTCATCTTTGTTTTTCTCTATCTGTTCAGGGGAATACATAGCATTGAATACAATTTGTTACAATTGACATTTTCAGGAAAACAGAGCAAATATTTAGATGACTCATGTTGCTTTTTTGTTCAATTAAATACTTTCTAGTCTACATGTAGCTAATCATTGCTGTGACATATCAACGGTGTATTGGCCACCTAAAAAAAGGGAAACTGCACGCTTACGCTCACTCGTATCCAAGGTGAATCATCACCACTGTCATCCCCTATATGTGTTTTGTTGAACTAATCACATTTACACGAATCACGCCACAGTTCAAATAAACCAAATAAGCTCACGCAATTTACATATGAACGCGAGCGGAGATGACTGAAAAACATACGAGAGCAGCAGCTTTTAGTTTGTCTAAAAAATCTAAACAAATATTGATTAATTCAAAATAAATAAAATTAAACTGAAAAGAAATTAAATGTATCTTTCTATTGGCCCTTAAAATATTAATACTTTATAGCCAATACATTTTACACTTGCTATAGATCTTGTCACCCGCTCTGCCTTAAAATCAGCAGTGTTAAAACTCAGAGGAAACAGAGCGACTGACCTTTGTGTAAAGTCGACTTGCTAGAGTGCGCTGTAACACCCTTTCCCTGTAGCTCACCGCTTTCAGCAGGAACATTAGGTCTCCTACTTTGTCCACACCGAAGCCAAGAAAGCTAGATAAACAAGGAAATAGCCAAAAGAAATACAGATTAACTCAGTCAAACAAAGAGATACTGTATAAAATCACCGAACCACTATCAGAATAGCCTCTAGACAAAACAAAAAAGCTGATTTTATTCAGCCTATGACGGACGACTGAAAATCTCGACTTGGGTTAATATGTTATGAATAGCAGGCCAGAAAACAATTTAACACCTATCAAATTTTCCTCTTAGGCTAAATTGCTAAATTGCTGACCTAACTGTGAGTGTAAACATACCGAGGGTAGACAGGTTCCTTCTGTCTGTCTGTCTGTCTGTCTGTCTGTCTATCTATCTATCTATCTATCTATCTAATATCTATCTATCTATCTAATATCTATCTATCTAATATCTATCTAATATCTATCTATCTATCTAATATCTATCTATCTAATATCTATCTAATATCTATCTATCTATCTATCTATCTATCTATCTATCTATCTATCTATCTATCTATCTATCTATCTATCTATCTATCTATCTATCTATCTATCTATCTATCTGTCTATCTGTCTGTCTGTCTATCTATCTATCTATACATCTATCTATCTATCTATCAATCTATCTGTCCGTCCGGCCATTCGTCTATCTAGACTCCATAGCAGTTCGTTTTGTTCCACGTCATGTTTAAGGGCGTGAAAATGTAAAGTCGATGTGCCAACGATAACAAACCAGCAAGCATCTGATAAGTTATTCATTCAAGTAGGTTGTGCAAGTTTACTGCAACAATGGTGCTGCAAACTTCACATACTTTTGAAAATCCAGCATTTAGTTGATCCTGATAAGCGTTCATTGTCACAGTCGTAAACACGACGGCTTTCTTCTTCCATGAGGAGGTTTGGCGTCACGACGGCTTTATTTCCGGACGGACTGTTAAAGAATGCAACACACACACACACGTCTTCTGGAAATCCTGGAGAATTCATCTAATTAGATGAAAAATTTGAAAGTCCTTTCCTATTTTGTGTGCCTTATGCATCAGACGTTCAACCACCGGTCTGTGGGCATGATGTGTGAGGCTGAGACTACTGTCTGTCTGTCTGTCTGTCTGTCTATCCATCTATCTGTCTGTCTGTGTGTCTATCTATCTGTCTGTCTGTGTGTCTATCTATCTGTCTGACAGTCTCACCTCTTACCTGGTTCTAAGGCTGTCTGACACTGAGCTGGTCCAGTTTCTAATCAGTCCCATCACCAGGTTGTTCCCCATCTGTTTGGTGTGCTGGGTTAGCAGCTCTCGTACCACCACCTACACATGCACAACAACAGAAGACTGCTTAAAGACAAGCTGAAGGGTTAAGGGTAAAAGAACTGCTTAGGCACATATTACTGTAAAGTAAAAAATATCACCCATGTGTCCTTGAGAAGTGCATTTAATTGGGCTTTTAACAGATGCATTAATGTCATTTCTTTGCAATTGTGAAAAATGTAAGTTCAACTAATTGCATTTAATATAAATTTTAACTATAATACATTTTAATTTAATTGCAATTAAAATGCAATTAAGTGTACAAACACATGGTGTTAAGTATATTATTTTAAAGTGTACTGTTTCCATAATATATACTCTTTTTAAAAGTATGCTAAAGTTCAGTGGGGTTCTAGTAGAGACCTCTAGGGTTCTTGACTCAATTGTAAAGAACAGTCTTAAATGATTGCATAAAACTTTCATGTTTAATGGGTTATTTCAAAATTTCTAGTGATTTTCCGAGCTGCCAAATTCATGAAACGTAATTAAAATGAAAAGGGAATTAAAACAAAGTTATTTAATTAAAACTAAATGCATAAAAGTACCTCATGATGGAAACCCATAAAAGGTTCTACACTAAACAAAATTATAAACGCAACACTTTTGTTTTTGGCCCCATTTTTCATGAGCTGAACTCAAAGATCTAAGACTTTTTCTATGTACACAAAAGGCCTATTTCTCTCAAATATTGTTCACAAATCTGTCTAAATCGGTGTTAGTGAGCACTTCTCCTTTGCCGAGATAATCCATCCACCTCACAGATGTGGCATATCAAGATGCTGATTAGACAGCATGATTATTGCACAGGTGTGCCTTAGGCTGGCCACAATAAAAGGCCATTCTAAAATGTGCAGTTTTATCACACAACACAATGCCACAGATGTCGCAAGTTTTGAGGGAGCGTGCAATTGGCATGCTGACTGCAGGAATATCCACCAGAGCTGTTGCCTGTGAATTGAATGTTCATTTCTCTACCATAAGCCGTCTCCAAAGGCGTTTCAGAGAATTTGGCAGTACATCCAACCGGCCTCACAACCGCAGACCACGTGTTGCCACACCAGGCCAGGACCTCCACATCCAGCATCTTCACCTCCAAGATCATCTGAGACCAGCTACCCGGACAGATGCTGCAACAATCGTTTTACATAACCAAAGAATTTCTGCACAAAATGTCAGAAACCGTCTCAGGGAAGCTCATCTGCATGCTTGTCGTCCTCATCGGGGTCTCAAACCTGACTGCAGTTCGTCATCGTAACCGACTTGAGTGGGCAAATCCTCACATTCGATGGCGTCTGGCGCTATGGAGAGGTGTTCTCTTCACGGATGAATCCCGGTTTTCACTGTACAGAGCAGATGGCAGATGGCAGACAGCGTGTATGGCGACGTGTGGGTGAGCGGTTTGCTGATGTCAACATTGTGGATCGAGTGTCCCATGGTGGGGTTATGGTATGGGCAGGCGTATGTTATGGACAACGAACACAGGTGCATTTTATTGATGGCATTTTGAATGCACAGAGATACCGTGGCGAGATCCTGAGGCCCATTATTGTGCCATTCATCCATGACCATCACCTCATGTTGCAGCATGATAATGCACAGCCCCATGTTGCAAGGTTCTGTACACAATTCCTGGAAGCTGAAAACATCCCAGTTCTTGCAGGGCCAGCATACTCACCGGACATGTCACCCATTGAGCATGTTTGGGGTGCTCTGGATCGGCGCATACGACAGCGTGTTCCAGGTCCTGCCAATATCCAGCAACTTCACAGAGCCATTGAAGAGGAGTGGACAGGCCACTCCATCCCACAGGCCACAATCAACAACCTGATCAACTCTATGCGAAGGAGATGAGTTGCACTGCATGAGGCAAATGGTGGTCACAGCAGATACTGACTGGTTTTCAGCATCTTGATATGCCACACCTGTGAGGTGGATGGATTATCTCGGCAAAGGAGAAGTGCTCACTAACACCGATTTAGACAGATTTGTAAACAATATTTGAGAGAAATAGGCCTTTTGTGTACATAGAAAAAGTCTTAGATCTTTGAGTTCAGCTCATGATAAATGGGGGCAAAAACAAAAGTGTTGCGTTTATAATTTTGTTCAGTGTATATATGAAATGTCTGACAGAACCTTCTATTTCACAAGGGAAATGACTCATTAGTAATTCATAAAATACTAAAGACCTATGTAAATGTCTGTTTTACACTTTCACACCATTTAGAGAAATGGTTTACAGTAAAGACTATTGACTGTAGAAGTCTTTGTACTTTGAGTCCTAGTAATTCTCCGGTCTGTTTTAGCAGCAGCCAGTATCCTTCATACACTACGCTACTCCACCCTGTCTTTAGCATAAAGGAGTCTCCTAATGGTCAGAACTTTCCTTTACTCATTAGCGTTCCTCGAGGGATCCCACAATCACACAACATCGCTCTCTAAACAGCACAAACTAAACACACGACTCCAGAGAGTCAATGACTCATTGTCTCATAATCATTGTGTATGTTTCTGCCCTACATACGCAAAAACTTAAAATAACCTCATCTACTTTTTTCACATCTGCAGTAAGTACAACTGCATACTGTAAAATAATCTTCTCAAAGTAACCGAATTGGACACACTCTTTCAGGGTGCAGCCAAAATGTACTAGTGTGCTGGTCATGTGTTTGAAATTTGGAGCTAAATGCTAATTTCCCTTTTGACAGGTGACACTAAAATTTCTTAATAACTTCATTAGACTGATGTCCTACGGAAAAGTCCCCACAACCAATCTGAGAGCGGGATGGAGAAATAAAGAGAGGGTCTTGGTTTAAGTGGCTGGCAGAACCTTTCACAGTTCTTGTGACTTTAGTTAAATCACTCCCAGCACCCTCTATTTTCACATGCCCCAATATGACCTTCGGCATTGGTTAATCATTTGTTGTTGGCTTAATCAAATCAAATTAATCAAATGAGTCCTTACAAATTTAGCCAAAAACCTTTTTTAAAGAATTTTTCTTTAAAACAGCAAAACTGCAGCAGTACGATATTAAAGTAATGGTCAAAGGAAGCAGGTCCATGTTTTCCAGGATTCAAAGTGGTCATATCATGAGACATTTATTTCATTTGCGACATAAAAAGACTTTGATGTACTACGAATGAATGCTGTGACTTAAAGACCTCAAAACATGCAGTCCAAAAAAAGCATCTAGTGAAAGTAAACTATAAATAGATACTATTCTGGCTTTGCATCACACTTGCATCCTTTTTTCTTTAAAAAAAAAACTTTTTTAAATGATCTCAATGTTAGAAAAGAGTGGTTCAAACAACAAAAACAACAGTCATCATTTACTCTCATGTCGTTCCATTTTCTCTCAGCCGTGGATTATAAAATAGGGATTTCCAGCAGAATGTCACAAGACTCGTGTGAAACAATAACGTTTGACGTCACTGACATCAAACCTAGTCATATGGACTAGTTTATAGTACTCCTTTGTAGCACATGAGGTTGAGTAAATGAAAATTTAAAAAATAATTATAGACATTTATAATGGTACAAAAGATTTCTATTGCAAATAGACGGAGTCGACGTGTCGACTGATTGGGATCACACTTAGAGAGACTGTCATCTTCGAGTATTGATAAAATGAGCCAATGCACATTGGCGTGCAAACTTTGCATCTCACGCTCCGCCCCGCGGCGCGGGTATAAATACGGAAGTGGATGCACGCACTATTTGTCTTTCGCTTCGGAGACGATCGGTCTTCACGTCGATGTCTCTGAAGAGTGTTAAATATTTTCAACAAGCGAGTGTGTCGGTGCTTCTTCTGGAAGTCTCTGGTGTTTCTACAGCGCGAGTGCAGCGGGGCTCGTGAGCCTTCTGAGCTCTCAACTGCTGGTTTAACAGCATTCCTTTTTGTGTTTGTTTGTCTGACGGTCGGTTGAGGTTCACTGGTACAGGCTGCACCATTCCTGTCAGTGTTGTTGCGATCATTCCCCTGTGTGCTTCGGCACTGGTGAGAGTCCCAAACTTCCTGAAAGAGTAACACGGGTGCGTTTGCGCCTTTTTCAAGATGTCACCAGTGCGTTTCTGGATGCGGTCGTACCCTGTCCCCCTCTGACGGTCACAATGGTTGTATCACGTGTTTGGGCTTACAGCACGCTGAAGCAGCTTTTGTGGATAGTTCATGTTCCCATTGCGGGAACATGACTATCGCGGTGTTGAGATCAAGACTCGCCTTCTTTCGCTCAGGTGGAGTCCCCATTACCACGCCCCACCCCAGGGTGCCGTGTGGGATGGGTGATCGGAGGATTATAGTGATGGCTTCCCCGCCCGGTAACCAATCCCTGTGGGCCCCTCACTCCTCTATCACACCGCAGTCAGTGGAGCTCCCGTTGAGCGCGCTAGTCCCTCTGTAATGGACCGACCAGCCGTTTCATTCGGGGCCTCTCCAGAGGACAGGATGCCGATTGCAGCATCGGAGGGTGAGCTGACCTCTGGAGATGATGACTCAGCTGCGTTATCTCCCTCTGGGAGTGTAACGTTGCCCGAGCCAGATCCAGAGATGTCAGCTATGCTGAAACGGGCCGCCAAGGCTGTCGGGCTTGAGTGGAATCCTCCACTGTGTCCCGAACAGTCTCGGTTGGATGATTAGTTTCTCGGAGCAGGCCATGCTGGTTCTCAGCCCTCCGCCTGAGTGCTTTTCTTTCCCGAAGTGCATGGAGAGCTTACCAGGTCGTGGACGGCACCTCTCTCTGCCAGAAACTGCCTGAGTAGCTCCTCCCCCCTCACTACCCTTGACGGAGGAGCGGTGAAGGGTTACGAGGCTATCCCTCCAGTGGAGCGGTCTGTCGTGACACACCTGTGTCAAGCGGCCACTGCCGCTTGGACGGGGGATCCTCGTTTCCCCTCTAAGGCCTGTGAGTTCTCGTCCGTTCTGACGGACAGAGCTTACAAAGACTGTGGGCAAGCCGCTTCCTCTTTGCATGCCATGGCGTTGCAACAAGTCTACCAGGCCAATGCACTCACGGACATGCACGAGGGTACAACCGATGGCGATGTCCACTTTAGTGGTCCAGGAGCGCCATCGCTGGCTCAACCTGATTGATATGACTGATGCAGACAAAGTTCGGTTCCTGGACTCCCCAATTTCCCAGTGCGGTGGAGAACTGCGTCCAACAGTTCTCTGCCGCCCAAGTGCAGACGGAGGCCATCCGGCACATCCTACCCCCACCACCAGTGGCAGCTCCTTCGCCTGCTCGTCGCCAAGGGCGTCCCCCTGCCGCCGCTTCAGCTTCTGCTGGGCCTCTGCAGCAGCCTCCATTCAGGCCTCAGCATGGAGCCAGCCGCAGGCAGGCCACCCAGAGACAGGGCGTCCCTGAGACAGGCCATCCAGGGATGGGGGGACGAGCTCTTCAGATGGTTACAGTTCCGCCACTGGCTCCCTGTGTACCTGAATTGTCAAAAGAGCTAATTCCTCCGTTACTGGGTCCCAAGAGGGTCAGACTGGCGGTGTGCGACCCCAGTGTTCCTCAATAGGCGGCCCGCAGGCCACATCCGGCCCGTGAGAGGAAAATGTTTGGCCCGGGCTTATTTTAAGGTTGTCATGGTAACATCAGCGTAAGCAAAAATTCAAACGCAGTATCTGAAAGCATTCGTGCACAACGAAAATATGCCAAGTGTTAAGAAAAGAAAAGTGGACCCAGAAAATAGACGATTCAAATCTGAATGGACTGAACAATTTTGTTTTATTTTGCCTGACCACCACAATGCAAAGCCAACGTGTTTGTTATGCACGCAGACCGTGGCTGTCTGTAAGTCTGATAATATCAAACGCCACTTCAAAATAACTTTGTTCATTTTTAAGCAGCCTTCAAAGCCAAAAGGCAGAGACATTTCTGAGGTTTTTGACCGACAACACAGAGATGGCATTCGTGCATTTTTTGTGCGATATCATGTCTCACCTAAATCAGCTTAATTTGCAATTGCAAGGCAAGAACCACACTATTGCTGACATGTACGAAGCGGTTGAAGCTTTTCGTTTAAAGCTGACCCTTTTTGAGCAGGATCTTCAAGGGAGAAAGCTGCACTTTCCGTATTTACAACAGCATTGCGAGAAACACCAGGTGCCAGAGGACCCGTTAATGCGCGACTTCGTGATGAGACTGGCAGAGAATTTCAAAGAGCGATTTCAGAGCTTTAACCTGTCAAGTGAACTCCTTTTCTTCCTAAGACAGCCATTTTCAGTCCCAGCAGATCAACAATGGACTGCTGAGGCCAAACGCCTGGTTTCATCCTTAGATGAAGCATCTTTGCAGCTGGAGATTTTGGAAATGTCAAAGTCTGATTTGATCAGAGAGCAACACAAGGAGGCTAGTGTGAGCGACTTTTGGACAAAAGTGGTTTCTCAAGCTAAATTCAAGAACAGCCGAATTATTGCAATGTTCCTTCTTTCAATGTTCCAATCCACTTACATCTGTGAGTCATCGTTTTCTATAATGAACATCATCAAGAACCACGATAGAAACAGACTGTCCAGTGTGCATCTTGATCAGTGTCTCAGAATTGCTACAACAGAATATAGCCCTAACATCAGAGGAATTGCTTCAGCCTCTCGCTGTCACTTCTCTCATTGAATGGTGAGTACATGCCAGTTAATACTTTTAGTTTGATCCAAGTAAGAACAATAAAATATTAAGGTTGATAGGTCTAATAATTGAATCTGCTATTAGGGAAATTGATGAGAAGAGATCCAGTGTGGTGATGAGCAGGATCAGTCGACTCCCATGCAGACATGGAGATCCAACGTATATGGCACCCACGTCCATACCTCTGGAAATTACATGTCTGGTCTCCGGACGGGACGCAGAGGTTCTAGGTGATCTACCACAATCAGTCGTAGACACCATCACTTCTGCGAGTATCAATCCCAAGATGCACCATGGCCCCTGGATTGCGGGTGTAGCTTCTTCCTGGGCGTTGGCACAGGGTGACTCGCTGACAGATGTTTGTAGCTGACAGATGTTTGCGGGCTGGGCGACACCAAACACATTTGCTAGATTCTATAGCCTACGCGTCGAGCCGGTTGCTTCCCATGTGCTCTCTCCACATAGAAGCCAGTTAACACCGTAAGCCCTGCTCGAAGTGTCGGCTTGCTGCGCCATTCCCCTCCTATGGACCGGATACATGCGCCATTCTTGCTCCAGTAGAGTTCCTCTTTAGCCGAACCCTGTTGAGTTCCTCCACACCCCTCGGCAACGGACGTGGCGGAGCGTCTGATGCCAGGCCTAACACTCGTATGGACTGGTGGAACCTCTGCTAGGCTGGGTCCATATGTTGTGATCCCTACGGCAACGTCGAAAGTGAGCGACTGAAAGGGAACGCCCCGGTTACGTATGTAATCCTCGTTCCCTGAAGGAGGGAACGGAGACGTAGTCCCGTCGCCACTATTTACATTTATTCATTTAGCTGACGCTTTTATCCAAAGCTATATATGTCAGAGGTCGCACGCCTCTGGAGCAACTAGGGGTTAAGTGTCTTGCTCAGGGACACATTGGTGTCTCACAGTGGATTCGAACCCGGGTCTCTCACACCAAAGGTGTGTCTTATCCACTGCGCCATCACCACCCCTGGACCAGCTCCGGGCTCCGCTCGGCTCCTCAGCGAAAAACAAATGGTGCGTGCATTAGAGATGCGCCAACCGCGCATCTCTAGCGTGCATCCACTTCCGTATTTATTCCCGCTTCGGGGCGGAGCGTGAGATGTAAAGCTCGCACGCCAATGTGCATTGGCTCTTTTTATCAATACTCGAAGATGACAGGCTCCCTAAGCGTGATCCCAATCAGTCGACAGGGTTCGGCTACTATCCTCTCCCTATGGAGGATCCCTTTCCCACTCAACAGATAAAGCGTTGTTGAAAATCCGGTTCGCATACCCCGAAGTGATAAAATAAAACTAAATTCTTTATCAAATGTATAGGCAAGACAAGTAGTTTGTTTAGCCATGGTTTTGTAGGGAAATTACAAACCTGCGCACATATATTCAAACGAATTTAACTATAGAATCAATTTTTAATGCGCATGTGAACACCATCAGGCCACAGGTTCGGTTTAAAGTCTGTTTAGAGAGAACGCTGTCGTCTTAGTGGCCCCTAATGAAATAACAAATTATAATTTTGCTGGAAGTGAATCAATCACAACTAACTTTAGCTGGAAATAACATTACTCAAAAATCGCTATAAAGCCAAAACAATCTCTGTTACCGTAAATTGTATGTTTATCTCTGTAAAGCTGCTTTGAAACAATCTCCATTGTTAAAAGCGCTATATAAATAAAGATGACTTGACTTGACACGTCGACTACGTCTCCGTTCCCTCCTTCAGGGAACGAGGGTTACATACGTAACCGAGACATTCTTTTGAACTTCCTAATCCTGAAAATCACAGTTTCCACAAAATTATGAAGCAGCACAACTGTTTTCAACACTGATAATAATAATCAGAAATGTTTCTTAAGCAGCAAATCACCATTTTTTGTTTCATGCCCCCTCCATATTAGAATGATTTCTGAAGGATCATGTGACACTGAAGACTGGAGGAATGATGCTGAAAATTCAGCTCTGCATCACAGGAATAAATTAAATTTTACAACATATTCAAATAGAAAACAGTTATTCGTAATTGTAATAATTTTTCACAATATTACTGTTTTTACTGTATATTTGATCCAATAAATGCAGCCTTGGTGCATTTTTAAACATCTTTCAAGAACATTTAAAAAAAAAAAAACGTACCAACTAACGCAAGTTTTAGAAGAAGTTTATGCTAAAATTAGCATTTCTTGAAAAGTTCCAATTCTGATCCTGCTATTAAATGTAACAATACAGAATTTAGACAAAAAGCTCATATTTTGTAACTGTAACATTTCATAATATTCAAAATACCAAGGATGTTATCAGGTATTAAATTAGGGGGACAAATGTACATGTTTAAGAAATGGTAATAAAACATTATAGTGAATGTTGTCACTGTGGTTTTGACTATCTGGTGTTGAAATGACAACACCATCAGCCTGTTTCCAAGGTTTCACTTGCATGACTTTATTTTGGTACTGAAGGGGATAATCTAATTTCAGCAGAAAATACATGTCTTTAGGCCTCGGCAAGCTGTGAATGCAGACGTTGTGTGCGAGTCTCTATGCATGTTATGTGTGTCATCTTATGTGTCTATAATCGATGTGGTGCTAATAAGAAACCAGCATAAAATGAATCACAAAGCTGACCCCAGCAGTTATCTTATAACCAGCCCCCATACTAGAGACACATTATTATTGCATATTCAATCGTGTGCAATCGCATTAAAATGACCCCCTTTATTCTAATGCCTACATAATCCACTTAATTCAATTTAGTTTGTGAGACACAGTTTATATTTTTAAAAGAATTGCCGCTTGTCTAGTTTCCCCTCCAAGCGGTCATCGTGTAGATATCTCTGTGTTTTCTGTTTACACTGTCTTGTTTGTCTGAACATGGGTATTTAAATGTGATATTGCACTATATTAAGGGAATATCTCCAAAATAAGTAGGAAAACAAATAACAACCTTAAGGAAAAGGATGGTGATAAACATGACCCTTGTGACCAAGTGTTTTGTCCACAGTTTTATGAGTGCATTTGTTGTGTGGTGTCATCTAGTTGGGTAGTGTTTTTGAATACCTGAAGCATGACCATGTTGTCACCCTCAAATGTGACAAAGACGTCGGAATCACACTTCAGAGACGGAATACGGTTTTCCATCATAAAGCCCTGGGGGAAAATCAACCACAGTTCATGTTTAAATGTGGCTACAGGAAATAAAGCCAATCAAAATATGCGCAGATGTTATGACATACACTTATGGACATTGTTTAAATAAAATATCATCCACTTTAAGTTTTATATAATCTTTGAAACAAAGTTTAGAGTGCTAAACGCTGCACTTTATTTGACCACTTTCAATGTGTTTACTCAAACTCATATAATTACCATAAAAGTGAATAGAAATGACTTTTTTTGCAGTCACTTTTTTTAAATGACTGAGACTAATTAAATTTCCCATTTTGAGGGTTTGGTTTTCGATGGTGAAACAAAGGGACAACAGACAAGATTATGTCTAAAATGTAGGTAATTTAATATTAATACCTATTGTTGTATAAAATCAATATCACATTTGCAATATCGTGCTGACATTCAGGAAAAACAGTACTCCTGCTTGCATGATATTGCTTTGCTTAACTACTGTATATCATATGTTAAAGGGGACCTATTTACAAGAGGTAATATAAGTCTCAGGTGTCCCCAGAATGTGTCTGTGAAGTTTCAGCTCAAAATACCCCACAGATATTTTATTAGACCATGTTGTAAATGCCCATTTTTGAGTGGAAGGTAAAACATGCTGTTTTCGTGCTTGTCTCTTTAAGCCTTTACGGCTTGTCCCTCGGATACTCTGCCAAAAACTAAAACATCTGTTTGGTTTTGATTATCATCTCTATCACAGTCACGCTCATTTGACAGATATTAGTCTAAACTTCTGGCTATCAGACGATGCGTCCCGTGAGTATTAAACTGAGTTTTCTTTCACTTCTTATTGCACTTAAACTGTCAAATACACACAAGGTTGTCTAAAACACACAAAGTTCACATAAACACAGTTGGTTATGTCTGTGAATGTAAACAGCACGGAAAAAAATCGCATGTGTATATTAGAACTGTGTGTTAAAGTGAAAGCAGCGTAATATACAGGACCTACTGCTGCTGTTAATATGAACCAAACAACAAAAGAACAACAGAAAATCACTCACTGCTCTTCACTGAATAACTTTAGTAGCTTTAATAAGAATACATTTCTTACTTGAATGCTGCTGTTACAGTTTTTTTCAATTGCTTACACACTAAAATTAAAACTTTCCCACTATTAGCAAAACCTTACACTCAAGGAGCAAAACACCAGCCTAGATTTGCACAATTGTAAGCACATTGTCAGCTTCACCCTTTTTGCAAAACATTACACACAGTAATTTGTAAAACTCTACACACATTTTCACACCTTAGACACAGTTAAGGATTGTGAGGTTACTTCCTTGTCATTACAAAGCCCCGGTTTGCCATTGACCACACTAATGAATGAATTGGATATGCACATCCACAAGGTGTGGAAGCACACATGTGCTAATTTGAAAACGCAGCACTCAGGTGTGCTATAAAAGGCAGCAGGTTTCAGTTCACATGTCTTCAACAAAAATGGAAGGAGCTAGAAGAAGAAGAAGAAAAAGAGTGAGAATAAGAGGGGGAGCTCAAAGAGGAGATGAAGGAGGTAGAGGAAGAGGAGAAGAAGGTAGAGGAAGAGGAGAAGGAGGTAGAGGAAGAGGAGAAGGAGGTAGAGGAAGAGGTGAAGGAGGTAGAGGAGGAGGAGAAGGAGGTAGAGGAGGAGGCCCAGGTAGAGGAAGAGGAGAAGAAGGAGATAGAGGAAGAGGCCTAGGTAGAGGAGAAGAGGTAGAGAAGGACTTGAAGAGTTGATAGAACCTGAACAAAGAAGACGAGGACCAAATTTGACTCAAGAAATCCGTGCAACACTTATTGACCATGTTATCAACCATGGACTGACACTGATGGAAGCTGGACAAAGAGATCAACCAAATCTCTGGTTGATACTGTAACTGAATAGTTACAGTATTCTTGTTGCTTTTACAGTAGTTTTTCTTCAGAGTCAAACTGTATGTACTTCATGCAGTAATTTTTATTTGTCTACAGATTTTATTTTTTTCATTGATTTCTTTGTTGGTTGATTACTGTAACTGATTATGGTAAGAAATACTGTAAATAAATACTTGAAATATGAGTCTGTAGAAATCAGTGTTGTGCAGTGCTTGACAAGTTTATAGTAGGCCTATTTGTGTACATTCTCCCTATATCTCAAACTAATCATGAAGAATGTTGTGGGTTTGTCACTATTTTTTTTTTTCATCTAAATTATCCCTTACATAACAATGTCTGGCCAAAAATCTAGCACATGCTATTTCCTAAAAATTGTTTTTTTTACAAATGAAAACTAATAGCATTTTCACAAATATGTGTATATCTTTTGACTGAAGTGTGTATGTTTTGACAGAAGTGTGTCAATTTGCAAACAATCTAGGAATTATGCAAATTGAGTGTGGTGTTTGGATAATTGTGATTATATTTTGAAAAAAAGAACCCGGTTTTCAAAATTGCATGTAAACAATTGAAAAAAACTGTAAATGGTCTGGCGAGGAGATAAACATGGCGGACTGTGTACAGCTCACTGAGGGGAGGAGTCTATGCTAATAGGTCAGAGCCCATCAGCAGTCGTGGGCTACACATTACATAGAAACTGCTTATGATTTATGGGGATTAAAAAAGGGAGTGGGTGGATTTGAACCATTAAAGGGGAGTTGTATACAAACACTTCATTTATGTTCAAACACCATGTAAAAGTGAATTTTGCATAATAGGTCCCCTTTAAACAAGTGCTAATAGAGGGGCATTTTTTCACCCATATATAGAATTTTTGCTGGCATTTTTATTAATTTTAGTGATATTTTTGCCCTAGGCTCCCACTAACAAAGTGGATGCAGAAGAAAAATGTGATTCAAGGATCCTAGATTGTTGTAAATGATTGCCAGAACGTTGATATATGGTTGCTTAATGTTCAGAGTGTTTTTTAACACACTAATATGCGGTTCTAGGGTTTTTTGGTGACTTCTTGAGCGTTTCTAAGTGGTCACTTACTGGTCCAAATGGTCAATAACCCCCTGCAAGGCTTGAGATATAATAATAATGATGCTTACCTTAGGAAACACAACTAATACTGATGGAACCATTTGTTTCCAGTTTATACTGCATGTTTGTTTGACAATACATTAGACACTTTTGTTTAAAAAAAACATCTCAAGGTTTACACGATTGCTGTTTTCTTTCTTACTGTGAGATTTGCGTTGCGTGAGATCAATAATTTTTAATGCTAGATGTGTGAAAACAAAAAGATACACTGTGATCTCGGTTTACTTATAATGGAATACATCAGCCCTGTGGTTTCACACATTTTAAACATATATATGTATATATATATATATATATATATATATATATATATAAAATGTTCACGCCACCAGCACCAAGAGCCAACAAACAGCGCAGGCTATCAATGAGATCTAACTGTGTTGATTAAGGCACCGATATTTAAATTAATGAATCATAAAACAATACTTTATAAAATCTACATATTAAAAAAGAGAGTTAAAAATAAAGTTTTGGGCCATTTTTTGTCTTTACCTGATAATTTTAAATTGTCCTGTACAGGTCCTAGATACGTAGACTTTTAAATAATATGATACAAACTGCATGTATAGTAACAATTATAAAAGCAAAATGCATTTTAAAATTTGATTAGAGTATAGCATATGAAACATGTCAATGTCCACTGCTCACATATGCTAACACTCTCCACAAAACGTCAATGCAAGTTATTCTTTGACAGCTCAGGATGTTTGTATTTCACACCACAGGACATTAGTATCTGTGTATATATGTGTGTGTTTAGGTGTAAAGAGACACACACACACACTCACTCACTCACCATGCCGCCAGTACACTCACGGCAGTCTTGCAGACACACGAGGTTCTCCCACGTGCTGTAGGCTTTGAGTCCTGCGACGAGAGCTTGCAGAGCGCGATTGCTTTGAAGGTCCTGACCCTGACACAACGCATCATCCATCAAGCCTGCTGCGTATCTGAGAGCACACGTACAATGCACATACATTACAAATACAATGTACATATTTTTTAAAGAAGTTTTGACTCATCAAGGATGCATTAAATTGATCAAAAGTGACAGTAAAGACACTTATAATGTTCTAAAACTCTTCTATTTCAAATAAATGGTGTTCTTTCAACTCGTCACCGAATCCTGACAACTGTTTTCAACATTGATAATAATCAGAAATGTTTCTTGAGCGGCAAATCATCATATTAGAATGATTTCTAAAGGATCATGTGACACTGAAGACTGGAGTAATGATGCTGAAAATTCAGCTTTGATCACAGGAATAAATTACATTTTACAATATCTTACAATAGAAAACAATTAAGTAATTGCAATACTGCTGTTTTTACTGTATTGTATTAAATAATTGAAGCCTTGGTGAGCAGAAGATACTTATTTTTATTATTTTTTAATCATCAAAACACTGTAAAAAAGGGAATAAATAGGTCAGACATTTTTTAAATATCTCTCTCAGACTTTCACTGAACAGATTTTTTTGACCATCTCGTTTAGTTCTCTTTTATTTTCCAATAGTGCAGATGCATCAGATAAATAGTAATGAAATCTACAGTGGTTTCTCAGAAGGCGGCATCTGAGTTCTTCTTTTCCTTTAATTCTTCTCCTGTGGTATTTCTCAGAATGTGCAACTGACCTGAATTACACAAGAGACCTCCAGTGGAGGCCAGTGAAACTGCTCTTTCTGCTGCCACTTTACCTTTGTTCATAACAAATATGAACTGATGTACCTCCAGTGCAATGTAAGTCACATTGGGTAAAAGCATCTACCAAATACACATTTTGTTTTGTTATTCAACAGCAGTTTTAATTTGGTTAAATCTGATTCTGTTGTATCTGTCTTCTCGTTCTGTGTTTGATTCCTGCTTTTCTTGTTTGTCATAGTGACTGATTTATGGTTATCCATGTCCAGTTGAGTTGCTCAACTCTGAATACTGAATATAGTCCTCATTTTCTTTAGTTCTTTGTTGGTTGTTGTCTTTGTAATGATGTTTGTCCTATACTCCAAAAAGTTTTGTTTTTCAATCATTGATCACCTCTACTTCTTTCTTGACTCAACGTTACAACTATAAAGATAAAATGCTGTTTATATTTCTCACAGCAGTTTTTATTTGTAAGAACCTTTAACACAACTTCATTGGTAATATTATTGGCTTCTTTACATGTACGCATTTGGCTTTTATCCAAAGCGAGTTACATTGCATTTAAGGTACACACTTACATTTGATCAGTTCTTGCTTTCCCTGGGTATTGAACCCATGACCTTGGTGTTGCTCTATTGTTTAAGCTACAGAAAAGCTTCTTTAAAGGGCTCCTATTATGCTTTTTTGCATGTTCAACTTTCTTTAGTGTGTGATGTTGCTGTTTGAGCATGAAAAAGGTTTCCTCCAGCGGGAGTTCTTCTCTATATCAGTGTCAGTGTTTCTGAACTCCCTGAAACGCCTCCATTGTAGTCTTGAGTTTCTTCCGGGAACGAACACGTCACAATATTCCTCATTTAAATAATTTATATGCAAAATAAAGGGACGGGGCCTGGTTGAGTTAGTAAGTAGTGTGTTGAAACACGCAGTTATGGTAAGGGGCGGGGCCAATCACAACACACTGATCCAGCAATCACAACACACTGATCCAGCCGACCAATCAGAGCACAGTGTGCTTTTCAGAAGGAGGGGCTTCATAGAGACAGGAACTAAACAGAGCGTTACTGACAGACTGGGAAGAGAGGAGCCGCAACAATGTACAATATGTGAAAAATAATGTGTTTTGAACATTCAAACATTAAAACCTATTCTAGTAGAGCCCAAAAACAAAATATGTCCTCTTTAAAGTAAAATAGTGTCTTTCCTCACCGTTTGAACAAAATCATCTGCTAAATAAATACTTATAAATGATATAAAAGATCATATATAGAGTGGGAGGTAGGTTAACCTTGTGGTGAAGGTGAGAGCGAGGGCGGCAGCGAGATGTGGCATCAGTCTCAGAGACTGCGTCTGGTGCTCGATGATCTTTACCTCTTCCCGGTCTTTCGGACCGAACTGTCTGCGACTGTGAAAGAGACATTACGCACATGTGATGGTGAAGAAGAGTTTCATTCTGCACACTCACACACAGTCAGAAACCTCTATCTCTGTGAAACACAATCACATACAAACCAAACCAGACACAGAAGGGGGTCGCAGCAAAGGGTCAGACATCCCACAACACACCTGGATGTGTGACGAAACGCCGGAGACGTGAACCGATAACCTGACACGTAACCACACTTCTCTAACCGCATGCTAATACTGAGTGCATGAATTTGTGGGTGTGTGTGAGAGTGTGTTGATGAAGGCATACTGTGGTGGACGTCTTGGTCTTGTGTCTGTACGTGTTTGTGTCTTTCTGCTTTACTAAAGTTGAGCTTTGTACACCTGTTACCCTTGAAGTACCACAAACTGTATCTCTACATCTAACATATGCAGGTGGCTTCCCCACAGAGCAGACGCGATGGGAGTGTGTGAGAGTGTGCGCGCGTATGTGTGGTTTTAAAGGTGAGAAGCCCACACAGAAATCCTATTGTAACTCACATCATCTAAAGTTGAGAGCATTCTCTTATACAGGCCGCTTCAAATTAAACAGATGCCTTTATGTATAGTCACATGCTATGTAAAGGCAAATTCGGTTGCTGATGCCATTGTAGAAACACTAAAGACATTTATTACATAGATAGGGCTTTATACAATACAGTCAGTATTAATGTTCAAATGAATACAACTTCAGTGTAAAGACAATAGTGTCATTATTCATCGCACGTCAGTTCATTTAGTTCGATAACAGTGTAAAGTTCATCAAATTATGAAACGAGGTTATAAGCAGCACTACAGAGGAGTTATTCAGATCACGTCAGTATGATGTTGCAAAGATGGTCACCTATGCTATGATTATGTACTCAACAACCAAAAATGACCAAAAGTAGGTTGTTGTTGAGATCAACAGCTGGTCATGTGATCTCGACACAGCAGCCTTCGTGAAGGAGGATTGCTTTATCTCTTGGCTTTAAAAAAAAAATCGTTTACAATTAATTTCTTTAGAACTAAACCTGTTTTTCGGCAGAACACAGACCTTTACCGCAGCATCTATGAACTATTTTGAACTACACTATTCTCTAGTAGGACATATAGAAGATAACGGAAGGCACAGTGGAACCACATGAAGTAAGCACACACTTACAATTTCCTGAAGACTTGATGAAATGCAAAAAGTGCCGTCTACCATCTGAACAATTGTCCTTCATAACACTAAAGAGATGACAGCGCTGTCTGTTGTGATTTAATTCGAAACGTGAAAGTCAGCAAATGTGGCAAATTACAACCCACATACTTCCTACTGGACATCCTGTATAATATTATTCAAATATGATGTTATTTGCCATTCAGCAGAATCTTAATATAATTATGTTATCTTAATATAATTATTGATTATTTAAAGATTCTGTTGCATCACCTAAAAGTTATTTGGCTATTAGGCAGTGTTTGTTAATTGAAATAAACAAAATGAAATATAAATATTAGATGAAACTCAAACTTAAAAAACTTAAATAAAATGTAATTAAAGCTACATAAAAATATATTTAGATATTTTTGTATACATTTTATATTTAATAAAAATAAACAGAAATATTTTTTAAAAATAAACAAAAACTATAACTAAATGACCAAAACTGAAACTAAACTCAAAATGAAAACTAAAAAAATATAAAAATTTGAAAATATTAATAAATACTATAATAGTATATAAATAATAACACTGCTAATTAGTGCTTTATTAAATGTGAACAAACAGCTGCATGGAGAAAAGTCATTTTACAGACAGAGCAAAACTGCAAAGACAAACATTATTTTCTGACAATTTTTTCCCAATAATACCAACCAAAGGCATGTCGACTTTACGTGATTGCATATAGCTTTTGAAGAAAGTATCAATCTCTGTAAAGCTCTTATCATTGTAGTGAACATTAAAAATAATAACCAATGGACGACCGGACAACACAAGGTCAACTTGACCACCAGCTGTTTGATTGTTGTTTTTAATCTTCAGAAAGTCTGAAGTGCAATGGTTTTGTGGCGCATTAAACAAACTCAAACCAAGAAGAGGTGTGGTGGGCTGAGAGCTTGAAGCCTGATAACTGTGAGTGCGGTTTCTCTATCACACCTGGCGGGGCCCGAGCGCTCATACGTGTTTTGGTACCAAAGCCGTGGCTCTTTGTTCCTCCTCTGATATGTGTGCGTGTGGGTGCGCTAGAGCTGTTTTGCAAATGGAAAACCTGCAACTATAGAAAGCAAACATTTCCTCTCTTTCTGTATTTTTTTCACTCTGGGGATGCCATCTTCAGAGACACCCTGCAGCCGCCCACGCAGACGCACACACACACACACGCACGCACACACACACACACACACACATGCAGAAAGCCACATGTGAGGAAGACAGATCTGCAGCGGACCAGAGTATCCCTCTGAACTGGATGTTCACTGCGCCTGCGGTGAGGAGAAACTCCACGCGTCACGTCGCTCTCATGTTGTTTTTTTACTCATTTCTAGAGTTTGTTGTTTATTTGTCTCTCCCCCGAGACCACATAAATAGCTTTTGAAACTCATCGATGGAGTTTTGATGTCAGTTTTTGCGTTTGAAGGAGCGCTGCTTTAAAATACCGATAAATAATTACAGGGAATTCTTTTGATCTGCATTGCATGAACTTGCAAAACATTCACACACACACATACACACACACACAGATTTTTGTAGCATCCTACCTGTGGCTGTAGCGTACTGCGATGACAAGCCCCAACTGCACAGAAAACACAGATTTAGCACACTGTGTAAAGGTGAAAACAAGTCATTAAGACATGATTTAAATACTCAACAAGGGGATCGGGGCTCTCAAGACAGTTTAAAATGATTTAAAATACTTTAAAATAAGATAAAACATTTAAAACTCAAAATGTAGCCATATTTTTTATTTTAATTAATTCCCTCAACACCTGCCATTTTATTTAAGAACCAGGATTTCTAGACCTGTAAAGCCATGGGAATGAATAAAATCTTAAAAAGTCATGGACATTTTTATAACAAATAGTTATTGTCAAGCTCTAAAATATTTTATCGGGTAGAAATAGCTATTTGTGAGTAAAAAACAAACAAAAAAACATGTAATCGTGAATTCATTAATAATATGTAAACGCTGAAAAACATTCAGTTATTGAAACTGATTCTGTAATTATTTTATTTTAATTATTCATAACTATTTTATTTAATTCATTTAAGTAAATGCTATTGTTCTAAATATAATTAAGAATATTTCTATAAATATTTAACTAGTTTATACTGCCATTCCTAGTTTCTGTAAATAAAAAAGCTTAAAAAGTAGCAGCTTTTTTTTGTTTTACAGCAGAAGTACCACAAATATCTGGGGGAGGGGCTTTAAATATTGTCTCTGACAGCGGGAGGCCTCAGAGGCAGAAAGGTTGAGAACCGCTGCTCTAAAGTAAAGAAAATGTTGTCATTGGTAATTTTTAAAGCCACAGTTCACCCAAAGATGATCATTTACTCATCCTCATGTTGTTAATGCCCAAGCAGCTCTTTTTCATACAAGGAAGGTGAATATGTTCTCCATCCACTTTCACAGTATGGAAAAAAGCTGCACTTTTGTGTCCTATGCAAGATAGAAAAGTCATACAGGTTCAGAACAAAATGAGGGAGAATAATAGACAGAATTGTCACTGTTTAACTGAGCTATCCTTTAATTTCAGCCTACATTTAATGACATAATGAGATAATCTATGAGAATGCTAGTACACCAGTGTTGTTATAGTGAACTGAAACTAAAGCTGAAAAACTTAAACTTAAAAAACTGGAATTAGAAATATTGCCTTGCAACTAACTAAAATAAATAAGTATGAAAACTTAAATGAAAACTGAAAATATCGAAATTAAAGTGAATTCAAAATATGAATAAATTCTATAATAGTATATAAATAATACACTGGCGTATGATTGAGAAATAATTACATGCCTCCCTCTTGTGGTGAAGCTGATGCATTACTGACTTTCACACAGAGAGGTTAGGTGTGTGATGGTGCATGATACTTATATTTCCTGATGATAGACATGGATTTGTTTTAAGTGCAGTTGTGTTGGATGTGAGGAAACCTTCATGGCTGCCATGGCCTGTACGGTGAGACCCAGACGGGTGGGTGTCAGGGCAGCGAGCATTGCATTGAAGCGCCTGCTTTTACTGACGACAGGAGACGAGTACAAACCCTCAGCTGACACAGAACCAAACCTGCAACACACAAATACAATCATTTAAACACCACAGTATTGTTGCTGACCATGTCCATCTCTTTATGACCACAGTGTATCATCTTCTGATGGATCCTTCCAGCAGGATAACATCTCAAATCATCTCAAACTGGTTTCTTGAATCACTAAACTCAAATGGCCTCCACAGTCACCAGATTTGGAGGAACGAGAGATCGTCCGACATCACATGGTCGCAAACTCTGTCATTATGAACCAAAATCTCTGAGGAATGTTTCCAGCACTTTGTTGAATCTCTGCCATGAAGAATTAAGGCAGTTGTGAAGGCAAAAGGGGTTCTAACCGGTACTAGCAAAGTGGCCAGTGAGTTTATATATGAAGAGTTCAGATGCAAAAGCCTCTAAATGCCATCTGAAATTTTCTTCTAAAATGATCATTTTTATCAAGCTCGTATATTTAAGTTCAATAATTTCACTTAAATGGCAAGAAAAATTACCCATTAATTGTCATTTAAGTGAAATTACTGAATTTAAATATACGAGCTTGATAAAAATGATCATTTTAGAAGAAAATTTCAGATGGCATTTAGAGGCTTTTGCATCTGAACTCTTCATATATACTGTATATATATACATATACAGTATTATTTGAATAACAATTATTACAATTATATTTAATATTAATCACTATTTGCAATATTCCATTTATATTGGAATCAAAGCATTTACATAATTTTTCTGGTCATTCATAATTAATGGATAAGGATTTTAAAATAACGCTATAGCGATTATACTCGTAACATTTCTGGACAATGAATGATTAACTGGAAAAACTAAAAATTTGATTCCCTTTAGAAGATTCCATGATATTTCAAGATTTTATTCATTTCAGGTTTGGAAATCCCAATTTTAGGTTTTTCATGACTTGGTTCACTTGCACTTGGTTCACGAAGCCTAGACCGGTAACTCACTTTCCCAGCAGATTTTCCCGTGGTATCCGTACGTTATTAAATATCAAAATGCCATTGTCAACCCCATTCAGACCTGGGTAAAAACAAATATAAAGTAGAACAATCAAATCTGGAAAACATTATTCAGTAGGGCTGTATTGTAAAATAGTGTCATCGTATTATTATTATTATTACCCTCCTTGTGCTTCATGTCAATGGTCGTCACTCCCGGCCACACGACTCCATTCTGATCACGGATCGGCACAATGAAACAGTGGGGACCTGAGACAGACATATTCTCAATAAGACGCATGATTTGAGGTGTCATTCATATCCATAAAACAGATTATGCGCCATACTTGGCGAAAAGAGTTTGTTGAAATCATTAACTCCAAGTATGTGCAGTGATGCTTGCATAAGCAAACAGAACTAATAATACAAACATTTTGTTCTCATACTCACAGTTCACTCTCCTTATCAACACTGAGATTCATGCTGATTAATTTTTAACACATCAATTGGAGCATAATACATAATGCTAAGCATTTTTATGTTTTCCAAGCATTTTTCGATAGCAAACTGATGAGCACCAAACTTTGCCACAAATGATTACAGATATCGTTTAAATCAGTGTGAATGCATGTCTAAATATAGACTATTGAGCACAAGTGTTAAGAACATGCCAGACATGATGAACAAAACAGGTTATAGTTAATGTGAGTATGAACAGTCGTTGCATCTGTCTTACCCTGAGATTCTCCATTTATAATGAGCTGAGCAAATACAGCAGCATAGTTTCCTTTCATTGCGTTCCCGATGTACATTTTCTGAGCATCCTCGGAAGGTGTGTGAATAATAAACTCCTGCAAAACAATATGGGCTGTATGTAAGAATTTTCATGTTTTTTTTTAAATCACTTTTTATTGCCAATGTGTGAACAGCTTGTAATGAAACTTAAGACATGAGACCTTCCCTGACTTCCTAGGTTGTCTATGCCAGCCTGTACACTGTTTTTTTATGTGAAGAACTTGGGATGTTTTTACCGGGAAAATCAAAAGGATGTGATGTTTAATGTTCAGGATAATGCAGAAAGAGCCATTCTGTATTGTAATGTCAATATGTCATGCAAAGAAAAGGGATTTATTCAAACTATAGTCTCACATATTCAGATCTATATACAGTAGTCTATAGTCTCAAATATACTTTATAATCAAATATTATGACCTTATACGTCGACATAATGCCGGTGAATTGCAGACATATCCACATCGCTATGATCAGATGCTTTCTTAAAGGTGCTCTATGTAACTTTTAGCGGCCTCTAGTGGTGATGTTTCAGATTGCAACCAAATTTTACAAGAGCGCTCGTGCTCGAACTCATAGACAATACCGTCTATTACGCAAATATCTCGGCGAATACTAGACGATTCGGCGAGCACCGAGCTCGTTGGGATCATCTAGTCGAGCTGAAAAGAACCATATAAGTTCCATAGTTTTTGGTGGTGTTTTCGCGGAGATATTAGCAGAAAACCATCGGGCGAGCTGCAAAATTGCGGACGCCGGTGACGTCACGATCTCAGAAGAAAATCGCTCGTATCTCTGGAACGCAAAGACCCAGAGAGCTCAAATTCGGGGGAGGAGGTCCCAGGGGAACCCTTGCCCGAAGCTAGAGTGGCGGGCCTCGGGGATGCCCCCTACCGGATCGCCGTTCGCTGGGACCCCCGATTTCGAATGGCTATAACTCGGGGAGCCGGGCGAGTTGGACCTCGGGGGTGGGCTCGTTCGAAAGGCCCCGTCCAGCACTACGAACGATTAGAGTCTTGGGAATATTGATCAAAGATTGACTGAGATATAAGCTGAAAAACGTGCGCCTTTAACCGGACGTAACTCCCTGACCGTCTACAATAGACTGTATATAAGGAGAGAGGCTCGGGAGCGCGCATGCACGTCACATCCGTTGGATTTCGCAGTAAATCCGACCCGGAGACTTCACATAGAAATAGGAATACTGGCCTTCAGAGGTAATAGCAAAACTCGACAAGTGGATCATTTTAATGTGTGATTACAACCCCTTCACACACAGGCAATAAAAAAAGGATTCATTTTAGTAGAAAAGTTACATAGAGCACCTTTAACTGCTGTTTTCTCACCGCAGTCATTTTTGTGTGTTTATTTTGTTATTGAGAGGAAAAGCGCAGCACTTATTTACATATTCATCTAAACGTCGCTCTCAGCAGCGTGAATGGCGTCGGGATGTTCGTTAACAGTATATCTCTGCGAAGGTATTTCCATCTTTGCCGTGAGTATATCAGGGACTTGAATCACGTTCAGTCTCTTGTACATTACGTGTGCACGAGCAATAAGTTGCTGACTGCAGTTCACTTAACGGCCACCGGTGTCGCTAATAACAATGGTTTCTCAATTCTACATATTGCACCTTTAAGCTCAAATCTTTGTCTATTTCACAATGATCCAAGTAAGTGTGGATTTGAGAAGTTTGTGAACATCTTCTGTACTTATATCCAGAAAATAGTTCCTTCATTTCAAAATAACAAATTCAATTTCAGTCTGTTTCCCACAAAGCTATTATTTGGGTTTGGAAAAATCTGAATATATATATACAGTATTATATATATATATATATATATATTAGGGCTGTCAAACAATTAATCACGATTAATCGCATCCAAAATAAAAGTTTGTGTTTACCTAATATATGTGTGTGTACTGTGTATAATTATTTTTAATACATAAATACCCACACATGCATGTGTATTTAGAAATATAAGAAATATTTGCATGTATATACTGTATATAGACTGAATGTAGCCTATATATAATGTATATTTTATATAAATATAAACATTTTATATATAAATAACATATTTTTCTGAAATATATACGTGTGTGCATTTATATACAAAATAATTATACACAGTACACACACACATATATTATGTAAACACAAACTTTTATTTTGGATGCGATTAATCGCGATTAATCTTTTGACAGCCCTAATATATAATTATATATATATATATATATAGATTTTTTTTTTTTTTTTTGTACAGCACTTTGGCCAACCTGGTTGTTTTCAAATGTGCTTTATAAATAAATATTGTATTGTAATTATTGTATGCTTTTTACTTTGGAGTTTGACGGTATCAATCACCAGCAATATTTTATGACATAAGTAGATGATGCCGGAATTCAAATTTTGGGGTGAACTATTCGTTTAAAATTTGCATTGCAATCAGTATTGAGCCTAGATCGTCCAGTAGACAAAAGCATAGAGTAGACCTGGGTATTACCCGTGTGTATTGATCGTATCGGGCCTCAGTGATAATGCCTCGAACGTTGCTACCGTGGCCCCTCTCGGTCATTGCAAACATCCCTGTAAACTGTAGCTCCTGCAAACAAACGCAGAATCATATAGATGTTGCATTGACATTACATCAATAATTGCAGCCATTCTTGCAATAAACAAACAGCACATGTGCAAACTGAGCCAAAAATGAGCAGGACTTTGGCTTGCAAACATGTATGTGCACATCTACTGAGCGTGTTGGAATCTGGAGCGCACAGAATTTATTCATGACTTACTGATACAGGCAGGTACCACTTCTTCTTCTGCTCTGGACTGCCTAGATTATTGACAGCACCTCCATACAGTCCACACACAACACCGAGCTGAGGGTTACAGCAAGGAGTACGCTGTCACTATTCAAATGCACCACCGTAGTGTGGAATAAATGCAAATGTGGAGCATCATGCGTGCCAACATGACATGCAAATGTGCCTCAGAACAGCTCAAAACTCAGTAATAATCTAAACAGCAAGCAAAGATACCAGAAATCCTGTTGCAGCTGATTTCGGCTTAATAATTACCTTTATTAAGAAGCAACTGGAATATAAGAATATAGCAGAAAGCTGACAAACCTTGACTCCCGTGGCCATGTCAGCGGAGCAGATGACCTCGGTGATGCCCCAGCTCTTGTTAATGAAGCCACTTTGCTTCTCTTTTAGCTAAACAAAGGCAAATAAGATGTGCATTACACTAACAAAACATACCAGCGTACTGCCTACATGCTTTTGGACATATCATGGTAAAAACCACATTCTTTTATACTGTATGCACCATGGTAAATCCCTGTTTTAGGACATCTACCATGGTAACTAATGAGGCTGAGCCTTTGAGTACCAGGCAAACTGAATTTCAGTACTGTGATATCAAAATACTATTGTTTTTACCAAATGACATCCTATCTTTACCATGGTAACAACACAGTAGTAATGCGTAATTGAATGCGTAATGAAGACTATACCTGGTTTTGAAGGTGTTCTCTCATGAAAGGCAGTCTTAAGATGTGATAGAGTCTCTCTGCGGTCAGGTCTCTGCTCTGATCCAGAGTCAGTTCATAACTGCACAAGAATTCACATTCAAATGTCGCGCAAAATGGATTTAAATCTATTGAAACCGTTAACAAAATGTGCACAGCCTCCATCAGGTGTCTGGGAGAAGAGGTGACTGTATATTTCATTTCATTTACTCAAGCTTACTCCTCGGAATGAGTCTTTAAGCAAACCTACCTGCTGGACTGAAACAGATCACACTTTGAAATCGCGTCCCGAAAAGCATCTTTAATCTCCCAGAATTCTCCATCCAGATATCTGGCAAGGGTGCTTTGTTGTTTTTGATCCATGGATGATAACAAGATGACTTGATTTCGTGTTGTTTTTACTTTAACTGTAACTGTAACTGTAACATCCCACTTCCGCGTTTGGATGATGTCATCGCGTTCCGCGGCAACACAGCCAATACCCTTTTTTATTGCCAAACATATTAAAATATTAAATGCATAACTCTGCATTTTATTAAGTATACTAAACTAGTGGACCGTTGCTTAAGTTTGCTTTTTATATAGATTTCATTACAGTGAAGTAGATTAATTTAAAATGAGTTTCAATGTTATAAAATTATAAATTAGCCTATCATTATAATTGCTAAAATGTTGTGTTATGCTGAATTCTAAAGGGTTTTCCTGGTTAATGTAAAAGGTTTACGTGATTATCATGACTGAAAATTTATAATTATTTATACAGTACAGCTCTACCGGATTCATAATGTCCTCTCAAGGTTATTGCTCCTCCCATTCTTATCAATGGAACAGCCCGGCGCCGGAGCAAATAGACACAAATAAACTATTGGCTGCTTAACAGAGGTCATCGTGGCCTTATGAAAAAAACATAACCACTTACTTACTGCATACGGTTTCTTCAGAGGTGATGAGCTTCTGACCGATCATAATCTCTGATATCAATGGTATATCTATCTATCTATCTATCTATCTATCTATCTATCTATCTATCTATCTATCTATCTATCTATCTATCTATCTATCTATCTATCTATCTATCTATCTATCTATCTATCTATCTATCTATCTATCTATCTGTCTATCTATCTGTCTATCTACCTATCTGTCTGTCTGTCTATCTATCTATCTGTATGTGTCTGTCTGTCTGTGTCTGTCTATCTATCTGTCTGTGTATGTCTGTCTGTCTGTCTATCTATATATAGATATGTTTGTCTCTGTCTGTCTGTCTATATATCTATATATATGTTTGTCTCTGTCTATCTGTCTGTCTATCTATCTATCTATCTATCTATCTATCTATCTATCTATCTATCTATCTATCTATCTATCTATCTGTCTGTCTCTCTATCTGTCTATCTATCTATCTATCTATCTATCTATCTATCTATCTATCTATCTATCTATCTATCTATCTATCTATCTATCTATCTATCTATCTATCTATCTGTCTGTCTGTCTGTTTGTATGTGTGTCTGTCTGTCTGTCTGTCTGTCTTTCTATCTATCTATCTATCTATCTGTCTCTGTCTGCCTGTCTGTGTCTGTCTATCTATCTATATGTCTATCTATCTGTCTGTCTGTCTGTCTGTGTCTGTCTGTCTATCTATCTATCTGTCTCTGTCTGCCTGTCTGTCTGTGTCTGTCTGTCTGTCTGTATGTATGTATGTCTATCTATCTGTTTGTCTCTGTCTGTCTGTCTGTCTGTCTATCTATCTATCTATATATATATGTTTGTCTCTGTCTGTCTGTCTATATATCTATCTATCTGTTTGTCTCTGTCTGTCTGTCTATCTGTCTGTCTGTCTATCTATATATCTGTCTGTCTATCTATCTATATATCTGTCTGTCTGTCTGTCTATCTATCTATATATCTGTCTGTCTGTCTATCTATCTATCTGTTTGTCCCTGTCTGTCTGTCTGTCTGTCTGTCTCTGTCTGTCTGTCTGTCTCTCTCTGTCTGTCTGTCTGTCTGTCTGTCTATCTATCTATATATTTATCAGTTTTACATACATTCTAAATAAGAGATCTTAATCTAAATGTCTATTTACAGTAACATCAGACAGGAAATGTCTTAGAAAAATATAGCAGATGAGCAAACACTCTAAAAAATACATATTTCAGATGCAAATGCGTACATCAAATAGACGTCTCCATGATGTATATCAGGCGACCAAACAAACTGACCTCTAAAATTACTTTTTATAATGACTAATTATGATGATAATGATGTCATGTTGAATATTAAATATATATTTTGAAATGCATAAATGTTTACGAGTTATCTATGTGTATGTATTTCTGTGTATGTGTGTGTGTTATGTGTGTGTGTGTGTCTATTGATGTGCCAAGCGCAGCTCGCTCATTGTTATTTCTGATATGACTCAAGATGCGCAGGCAAACAGTTCATCTATGAGCTCCTCTCCCAGACCAGATCCTGTGAAAAGACTGTGAACACGCATATACTGCACTAGGACCTAGAAATCAATAGCTTTAGCGGCTTTACCAACTGTGGGATCAGCACTAGTCTGAATCCGCGAAGCGTTTATTTCCCTGTCCAGTCTCAAGCGCGCGCTCGATTTCCAGTCAGAAGATCTCCCGGCGAGAGGGAAAGTGGATTTTACCAAACAAGGTGAAAACACTACAAAACAATGTGGAGATCTCTCCTGCTTCTCATCTGTCCTCTGCTGATGTCTCTCTGCGGTGGCGTGTGTTTCGAGTGTCCTGAGATCTGCAGATGTTCTCAGAAGAGCATCACCTGTAACAGCGCGACGGAAAACACGAAGAGCAGAACTCACAGACTGTAAGCACACATCTCTTCATCGTTTATGTCACTTATAACTATAGACGTTAAAGTGACACTTAAAGTGGCACTTTCATTAACTCATTACACTTAACATCTCAGTGTAAGTATAGCTATTGGAGACCGGGATAAGTTGTCACATAGCTAACCTGTTATGGTATAGGGTGAATTCAGGTTGATTTGGACAATTTTTTCCATTGAGATAACTGGCAAAAAATGTCACCCCTATCTGTATTTATTTCCATATAAGTCTGTTTGGGGCAGGCTGTCACGTTTATATTGGGGCAAGTTGTCACATGTGCTTCATTGTAGGCTAATTTTTATATTTTTAATATGTTGTAATTCATCAGCCAAAACAATGGATTAATATTTATGTACAGTATGTATGTTTTTGCTGTAAAGCATTCTAGATATGGATATGTTAAGTAAGAACATGACTCAAATCAGAATAAAAAAACCCAGCAGATTCTCATTATGACAACTTACTCCATAATGTGCTGTATTTAGATAATGATGGTGATGTGTGGGTGTGTGTGTATATATATATATATAGTCAAGACTTTAAGGTTTGTGTCCGCCTTAGAAATTGATTGACACATTCTCTGATGTAAAAATCTATAATTATAAAATATTATACTAAAAGCAATTCAAAGAAGTTGCACATCAAGTACAGTACAGGATGTTCATTAGTGGTCATTAAAATAATTAATTTCTTATTAATACTACTAATAGGGACTGTGTGTAATAACCCTGAATAGACTGTCGGCAGTGATTCACTGTGATAATAAACCTCTTAAATATTATGTACATGACAACACAAACCACACACCACATCTCACACACCCAAATATCTTAAGTTGCCAAAGCATCTCAATTGATTCATTACAATGTTCGCATGTTAGTACAGAATGTTAAATATGAAAAGGGGACAACTACAACATTTTATTTTAATGTGTGATTTAGAGTGACATTACCTCTTCTCATAGGACGACGGGAGTGTGTTTGTGTTTGTGCTGCGTTCAATTTATTGTCTTCTCGTTGTGTGGACGTCTAACAACCCACACAACAGCCCATATGATACAGTGGATGTGCTTATATTATGCTTCTGTTTCATAAATAACCATTCCAAATATAGTCTAAACACATATGACCCATTTAGTTATCTGAATAGTAAATAATTAGTTATCTATAGATACCCATTTATTATCTACAAAATGTACAAATAACAAGAATGATATGTGGTGTTTAGACAAATATGAATACTGTATGCATTATATGAACAGTGGCTCAAAAAGTGTTTGCACACATAAGTCTCAAATAAAAATTGTTTCAATTTATTGTATTTGCTGAAGTATATTTGAATTAAGGTTTGTTCTGTGCTGTGATGCAGAGATCTTGATTTAAACTCTCAACTTGTTAGCTTGTTTTTAGTTATTTTTAGCAAACCTTTATCATGACTAATGTGAGGGTTAGCTACATTTTGCTCTCAAAACCATATTTATTCACAAAAGAATATTAGTTTCAGTTGAATAAAAAGCAAGATCATATAACTCTTTGATGTATCATTGTTCTCTCTACTTGTCAATTGATAAGAAGCTAAATGCATTTTAATTCTATTTAGTGCATTTTGAATAAACATTGTGTTAAGTAAGTGTTAGTCTCATTGGCAAGTCAGTTCCCTCGGCTATTAAGAAAAAATAGAAATAGCATGCAACTACATCTCCATCTCCTTGAATGAGGAAAGACTGAAATCTCTAGAACTATAATTGCTATAATTTCATTTTAAAAATGTGTCAAATCAGTAATAAATTCTGTTGTGACACAGTAGTGGCCAAAAGTGATGTCCGGCCTTGGAAAATTTACATCTTTATTCTTCACCCTTTATTCAAATATTATTAAAAAAATTTTTGTAATCATATTATGTTATGCTTGGAGACAATTGTTTTATTTGTGATAATAACGCAATTAAACATGCTAAATCATTTTTGCTCAGGCTGTCATACAAAGAAATTATGAACACATGCAAAAACAAGAGAGAACCAACAAAATATGAATAAATGATGTTGTTGTCAATGTATGCTTTATGCATATTTATTATTATTATTTGAATAGTAAAATAAAACCTGCAGCTGTAATTTGCCTTTTTTTTTTTTCAAATACTTTTGTCAGATGAATACCTTAACCAAGTTTAGTGTTTTGTTCTTCCCTCATATTTATAATATTTAAAAAGTATAAAATATGCATGGTCATTTAAAAACAAATATCCCCTTCTGACATCACTTTTGGCCAGTACTGTCATTCTTCTTTCACAAATAACACTAAAAAACTGTATTTTCAGGCTGTTGCAGCTAATGCACATTATAAAAAAGGCCTCCATCAAAACGGTGACAGACTCCTTCCTGCAATTTCTCCCATTTAGTTTTCTACCTTTTATAGTTTCTTTTTGCTCTGAATACATTAACAGAGCAATTGTGATGCAATACTCGCTTCTCATTATAGTCCTGCTTACGCATGACACGTCTACCCTTTCTGAAAAAAGCAATGGGGGAGTTGTTGACTTGTGTCAAGCTTGAGAAAAGTAATATCCGAAGTAGACAGGTCAAGTGGTTTTGTCTGACTGACGGGTCTTGGCTTGCCATCATCACACACCCGCTGAGCTGAGCGTGTTAAGAGAGTCTGCTTAGTGTCCTTCAGGCCTTGAAATCATCTTCTTCCTCTACTGAAACCTTGAGCCCTGATAAGAGTTGCATGCAATCAAGGACATGAGATAAATGAATAATGTCCTTTAAAATAAGAAAAAGAACTGTGATCACACACCCCCTTCAAATTTTGTCAATTGTTTATGTTTTTAATTCCACTTCAATTAATCGCAACTTTACATTTTCCGTCGGTCTTAGTGCACGATGTAACTACAGAAGAGTCAAGGTTTAAATAGGAAAAATATCAAAACACTTTGGTCATTTTTTTATGAGAAATGCTAATGGTCTTGTCCACTTCAATGATGTATGCTAAGCTATGCTAAAAGTGGTACCGCCAGAACCGGAGATCGGCTGAATGGATTCAAAAACGGTAAAACTCAACAGTTTAACTCTGGGGGAGTTGTAAAATGAGCCTATTTCCAAAAAAAGTGGAGTATCCCTTTAAGCATTTAAAACAGTGTCGCCTACCTATAACTTAATTGCTACGGACCATGTATGGTAGTACAAAGGTGTTCACCAGCCGTAGTGAACTTTTCCAGAAATAAAGTTTTGGCAAGCTGTTTCAAACTCCCGAAACAAACTTAGTTTCAGCCTAATTTTATTCGAAATGACTTCACATCAGTTCGTTTTTTTGAAAGATAATTGCGACTTTTTATCTCACAATACTGACCTTTAAAGGTACAATTACAATATGTAAGAATTTTGTAATAAAATATCCAAAACTCACTTGCACAGTGTGATATATTTCCTGCAGTTGGGTACTTACAATATCCCAAAAGTCTCCAAAGATTTTTTATTTCAGAGAAATTCCAATTTTAAATAAGTGGCCCTCCCAGAAAAAAATGTCGCCTGTCAATGACGCAATATCCGCGCTATCCTCGGTTTCCGCTCATACTGCCATAGCCATGATGTAACCATGGAGACAGACGTGGACAACTGTGTAGTGCGCAACGTTTATCGGCACGCAGTTCTTGTTTCTTTCAAACATAGACCATTGCAAGCAGACTTTGGGACAAACTAGGAGAACTAAAATGAGGATCAATATCAGCGTGGCGTTTTTGAGATGCCGAGAGCTAGCGTCCGCGACTAACTTGGACTTGACAGAGCTTCACGAGTCACGACTTGACAGCTTTATTAGACAGGTGAGCTAATGTACATAAAACAAATCAATGTCATATAACGTTAGCTCAACATGATGAAATGTTAGAATATGGTCAGTATGTTATTCTAATGTTGATCTAGCTTACTGCTAGTTTCGTATAGCAAACAAACTAACACGTAGTGTAACATTATAACTTTCAACACACATTTAAATGCCGTTTAGTGTGATAGTGTAACGTTAGACCAAGTGAAGCAGCGCTGCGTTACCTCACAAGTTTAATTCGTCTAATAAACTGACATGTGTGAGTAATCCAGCACTTGCGGGTAGTTCGGTAGAATTAAATGTCCTTATTCCTTTATATCCGCGGGACTCGCGTGTGATATCTGTCTCTTTAGCAATCGTGGCCTGCATCATACCACTGTAATGTTAAAAAGCATGAATGTTTGCACTCATCCATAAACATTATTAGATCCATCAGCTCGACAGCAAGTCCCATCATTCAGCTCATCACTGCGTCATCAACCTACGCCTGTGTTATTGTTGGAAACTGCACCCTCTTGTGGTGAAAAAATCTTACATATTGTGCCTTTAATCTCACAATTGCGAGTTTACATTTTGCAATTCTGACATTATAACTCGCAATTGTGACTTTATAACACGCAATTATGAGAAAAAAGTCAGAATTGTGATATAAAGTCACAATTATCTTTTAAAAAAAAAATTATTGCGTGGCAGAAACAAGCTTCCATAGGTTTTTCGCAGCCGTATAAATGTAACCGTTATGTTTAGTTCTGGTTTCGTTTTCATTGTTGGTCTTTCTGTTCCGTTCGTTCTAGTTTTCCCACATCATCAGTTTCCATGGACACATTTAGGGTTAAGGTTTACTTTCTGTTATCAAAGTCTATTTGAATCAATCTTCTTCGTCATTCCTTTCTATCTACACCATGCTTGGATAACGTGACAAGAAAAACCATTGTTGGATCCCCAAAGAACCTTTCAGTGAACAGTTGTTAAAATAATAACATTTTAATAATCTAAAGAACCTTTTTCCACTATAAAGAACTTTTTGTGCCAATAAAGAACCTTTAATGTCCCCCTGTGGTGAAAATCAAGCTTTTAATGTTGTTTATATGTCTATGTGGTGTTTTTAATATGCTTTAAGACAAACCATGTGTAAATCCATAAGTCGACAGCATTGCTGAGTATTTTCTCCATAAAACTGCAGTGACCCAAAGACAGTCTCAAAAACACGGCTTGAAATCGCTGGTGTTTCTGACATCACAAACGACCTTGTAACCAATCAGATCAACGTGTGATCGTCAACCAGTGGATCTCTGAGCTGAGTGAGTGAGTGGAGGCGGGGCTCATTTGCATATTCACAGAAACGCGTATACTAAATGAGGCAAGGGTGTCGAGTTACAGTCAAGCTATTGTAAGGCATGAAGAATTTATTTTCAAGGAAAAAACTTTTAAATATGCCATTTTGGTGATCAAAGATGAGTTTTAAGGGATAAAATGATTGACTACAGGAGGACTTTAAGAACTTTTTCTATTTTTAAGAAGTTTGTTCAGATCCTTCCTTCGAAAATACTATTAAATATCAAAACAAATGGCATTTAATGATTAGCATTCTTTTCAGGATAAATGAATAAATCAAAATTCATACTTTTTTAGCACTTAAACATGCTTTGAGGCTTCTGTAAGCATGTCCAGAAGACTAATTTCTAGTATGATCCATGATGTGAGCTCAGGAAAGGGAAGGCTAGGAAATCTGACAGCCTCCACTCCAACCGAACCGAGAGTCTTCGAGCGCTAACAAGAGTCGGGCGGTGACTCCACACTCACATCATTAGACCTGCAGTGTAAGAGATGAATCAAGCAGCACTTCACAATTACAAACTCTGAGAGCACTGTGACCTTCTCTCAAAAACAACACCAAGTGATAATTATCCGAGTGCAAAGGTTCCAAACTCTTAAATGAAGCACGGCCCAGACATGCAAGACATAATGTGATGTAATTACTTGCAATTTGCATGGTCATTTTTAGCAGTGCATTGGAAAACTTGATTGTTGTTTTGATAATTAAGGGGGAAATTAATGTTGCTGAAAATAGTACAAAAAGGGACACAAAATTAGCCTGGGAAAACCCAGACAACTTCTGGCAAATTTAGATTTGCACTGAAAGTTAGTCTGGCAAAGAGCTCATTCAAGCCCATTTCCAATCCGCCGAAATCGCGGCACCAATCAGAAACGTTGGGGCGGGCTTTACACGATGACGACAGCGCTGGGATTTTGAAGCAGATTTTGTAGCCTACATTACAAAGATGGATGCCGCCGTCGAACATCACTCGTTCCAATCAGCTATCGCGTCTGTTTTACGCGATTTGAACGTTTCCTTTTTGTTTGTAACCGAGCAAAGAACAACACTCGGAGATGTTTCTCCGCCGCTCTGCATACGTCATCTCCTTCATCGCTCTGATTGGGTTTAGGTCTATCCGCGACGTCCGTTGGTGACGCCCCTCTGGAAATGATTTGTCTATGACGCTTTGCCAGACCATTGCTGCGTCCCTGAGAGAAAGAGTGGCACAATAGTGAACTATTCTGAATATTATGATTTTACAGGGTTAAATGAAGGTCAATTGTCTTCTTTTGAGATTTTGGTCCTTGCTGAATGAGCTTTTATCTGCTCTGTCTCAGAGTGGAAGTGCTTTGCTGACGTAAAAAAAACTTCTTATCAAACATTTTAACCATTACAAGACACACATCTGTTCAAGCTCCATTTATTTTAACCTAATTTCCCACAGAATATAAATTTTTTCCAGGATGCATGAATATGTTTGAACACATTTAAGGTTTTTACAAGAAAATGTGATTTGCTAAGGTTTTCGGAATAGTTAATGCGATGTGGTTGCTGTTCAGGATCAGGGGTTTATTCAAATTTATTCACATTGTGACTAATTGATGTGAAATTATTATTCATTCATCCTGTGCATCTCAATTTCAGAGTTTTGAAATACATCTCTCTGAGAACCATCAGCAGTCGCAGTTTCGACCACCTGAAAGGAGTAAAATCAATGTGAGTAGTCATTGTTTTTAAAAAATCTCGACAGATAACCAGATGTTTAGCATGTCCACCGAAGGGAAATGCCATCCATCATCACTGCCCTCCGAGCCAACAGGCTCATCTCCACATCATGTGATCTGTGAAGAGGATTTTTGATGTTCACTCCCTTTTTCAGAACGCACAGAGTCGAAGGAGCTTTCAATGCCAAATTTTTCCCTGCGGCTCTTTGAAAAAGCTCAGGACATGCAGGAACAGTTTGAACGCTTGCACAGAATAGATTATTCTTTGACTGAATAGCATGCATGAAAAGGAGCAGTATTTTGTCAATGCAAGTTATATCACACAATATCAAAGAATCTTTCTCTCTTGGGATTGAATTTTTGTGCCAAAAAGAAGCATCTCTTTCCCTAGGAATGGCCTAAAAAAGATGTTTGGATTAAATGGGGTTTACAATGAAAAATTCATACTAACCTTTATGAATCTTTTTAAGTCTAAAATGCAAAACTTTATAATGAAACCACAACTTGAATTAGAATGTAAACAAATGCAATGCAATTAGACATGGTTATATAAATTAGCATAAAGGAGATTAAACTTTTATTTTTATTAGAAAGTAGATGTTATTTATGTTGCTTTTTGTAATTTATTTATATGAATATTTTATGAACATGATATACACTACCGTTCAAAAGTTTGGGGTCAGTGAGAATTTTCTTTTTCTTTTTTGGAGGAAAGAAATCAATACTTAATTTGATCGAAAGTGACAGTAAAGATATTTATAATGTTACAAAAGATTCTATTTCAAACAAATGCTGTTCTTTTGAACTTCCTATTCATCAAAGAATCCAAAAAAAAAAAAAAAACTGTACAACTGACAGACCAACAACTGTTTCAACATTGATAATAATAATAAATGTTTCTTGAGCATCAAATCCTCATATTATACTGATTTGTGAAGGATCATTTGACACTGAAGACACTGACACTGGTGATGCTGAAAATTCAGCTTTGATCACAGGAATAAATTACACTTTACTATATATTCACACAGAAAACAGCTGATTTACACTGGAATAATATTTAATACTATAACTGATTTTTGTTGTATTTTTAATCAAATAAGTGCAGCCATGGTTAGCAGAAGAGAATTCTTTTAAAAGTATTTAAAATCGTACCGACCCCAAACTTTTGAACGGTAGTGTATATCAGAATAGACAAGAGTTCCAGACAATTAGCAGGAGGTTTGTGTTATTCCTTCTCATTGGAATTCATATATTTATTATTATTGTATATCATATATTGTTATTATGATTGTACCGTTCAAAAAGTTTGTGGTTGGTATGATTAAAAAAAAGAAATTAATACTTTATTCGGCAAAAGCATGCATTAAATGATTCAAATGTGACAGTAAAGATTTTAATTGTTACACAATATTTCTATTTCAATATTAATAATAAGAATTGTTAATAAGAAATGTTGATATTATACATTTCAAATTATATTCAAAGATGTACATGCTCTAGGCTTCATCAATCCAAGTTTCTGATGGTGCACGATTCATTTATTCAGTTTTATAATCACGAATAAATGCATAAAATTGTGTATTTTGGGACACATTTTGCCACTCATTTTCATTCACTTGTTGTTTTTTTCCCCCAGAGAAATTTCCCAGAGCATATCATTGGAAACCATAGAGACAGAAGCATTCAACAGCCTTCTGAATGTCTCAGAAATGTAAGAAACCACTCAAGGAACAATGAAAGTGATTCATGGATAATTGACTCGATTTGCGTGCATTTCTTAATGACTGTATTTAATTACTGTCCGTAAAACCTACTGGAACAGAATCTTCTCTGACAGAGTCATAGTAAAGTGTCATTTGTTTGCAATTTCTCATGCAAGAATTTGTGTCACAGCTCAATCCAGAACACGCGGAGTCTCATTCACATCCACCAGCGGGCTTTCTACCAGCTTCCCAAGCTGAGATACCTGTAAGCAGCACATAATCTCAGTTTTCCTACAGCAATCACATTTTAATTGACAAAAATCAGAAATGAATATTCTTAAAACCCAAGGAGTTAACATAACTCAGACCAGTTGGGAAAACCGGTTGGATTAAACCATTTAAGTAAAAAAAATTATTCCAGTTGATTCCACATAATAATTTTAAATTAAACTATAAATCCACTTAATGTCCCCCTGTGGTGAAATCAAGCTTTTAATGTTGTTTATATGTCTATGTGGTGTTATTAATATGCTTTAAGACAAACCATGTGTAAATCCATAAGTCGACAGCATTGCTGAGTATTTTCTCCTTAAAACTGCAGTGAACCAAAGACAGTCTCAAAAACATGGTTTGAAATCGCTGGTGTTTCTGATGTCACAAACTACCTTGTAACCAATCAGATCAACGTGTGATTGTCAACCAGTGGATCTCTGAGCTGGTGTGAGTGAGTGGAGGCGGGGCTCATTTGCATATTCATTGAACTTCGCATACTAAATGAGGCAAGGGTGTAGAGTTACATTCAAGCTATTTTAAGGCATGGCCGAAGGAAAATCCGCTTAAATATGTAATTTTGGTGATCAAAGATGAGTTTTAAAGGATAAAACTATCGACTACACGGGGACAACACTTTAAATACTTTGTGTTGCTGAAATTTTGTCAAAAAGTAGTAGGTCATCCGGGTACTTACCAGATCCCGGATTCATGTAGTACTGATTCACGAACTCGGGAGATGATTGAGACACACCTGTGTTTTTTTGGTTTCTTGCACAGGTCAAGACCCAATTCCCTTTTGCTTTGTATTTCTATAGGAGCATTTCCAACACTGGCATAAGTGTATTCCCTGACCTGACCTCCATCTTCTCCATGGAGCCCTATTTCATACTGTGAGTTTACCCTGTGGATTCATATGTTTGAGAGATGGTGTGATTGAGAACAAATGATGGAAAGTAATAGTGAAGCTATAATTTGACTGTCTGCTATCCTTCTCAAGCTGACAGAAAATGGGGTGTTATGAAATGGACAGATATATAGTGCAGACTCTTTCAGAGACCCATGAGTCAGAACACTGGATAAGAAAAGCACAGATGTATTGGATTAAGACTAATAATGTTTTTGTCCATGAGTCCATGAGTTTTGTTTTTGCAGCAAAGTGTCTTATTGTTTCTTGTTCTTTTTTAGGGATATTTGTGATAACCTCAACCTGCGTTCAGTCCCACCAAATGCTTTCAGCGGAATGACGAGTGAATTCACCGCAATGTTAGTATCTCACACTCTGGCATCTTGTTATGATTCAGGGCTGTTATCCCCACAAACTTTTTTTGTCAGCCGAACCTCTTTGATCTAAAATATTTGCTTAAAGTGCCACCTGAAATCTTAAGTTAATATTTCAATAATTTTAACAGCTCAGTCACATGTTTAGGGTTCCCTTTCGAGGGGGCACAGTAGTCCACAAGTAGTCCAATGGCAAGAATGAGAGTCACGGGCGGGTGACGTCATGACCTGGGGTCTCATTTATAAAACTGTGCGTAGAATCCTTACTAAAAGTGTACGTGCGTCCGAAAGCCAAAAATGGCGTACGCAAACAAATATTCTGATGCCAGAACCTGCGCAGAATTCACTTTATAAATCCCAGTCAGCGGAAGATTGTGCGCACTTGCGTCTCCTCCCCGAAACAACCATATATGGAGCTTACAACGCCTAGTTTTACTATGCATATCCTCATCTGCATATAATTTGCATATGATTATTCATCCACGTGATAACATATGTTTAACGGTACAAGACATTTGGAAAATATGAAATACGGATGTGCCGTCACATTAGTTACATTAATAAAAAATAATTTAGTAGCCTTGCCTTGTTTTTCAATAAATAAATCAAATAGTGTAAAATACATTTCAGAGAAAGTTTTTCTCAATCTTTTCCACTGGCCAAAGAGTATTTTTAATTGATTTATAGTTTTAATGGAAACAGATAGACCTTGTAGTGCATTATTTGCACGAAACTATTTTCTCAGACAATCTGCTATTATGATGATAAGCATTATCTCTGTAGTTAACACATTAAAACACAGCATGACAGAGGGAAAGTGTTTGAAAGCATTGCATCCACAACAAATATTTCTATTCATTGAATATAAACAATTTTTGTAACTTCTCAGTAATGATTTCATGTAATTTAAGTGTCTAACTCCATTCATCAGAATGGCATATTTAATCTAAATGTTTATATCAGAAGTAAAACATAGTTTTATTTATTTAAACTGTTATTGTGAACATATTTCACAGAACACTGTATTTATGATTATAATGAAGATTTACGGTTTTAGATAGGCTGCGTCAGTTTCACTAAAGAACAAAGGGATGGATGTTTAAAAAGGGATGGATGTTTGCTTCATGTGATAGGCTTGGTGAGTGAAATTATATTTGTATTATCTTTCTGTATACTGCATGTATAATTTTCTTTAGAATGTCGGTCACTAAAAGTGACCAAAAAGACATTTAGCTCCAGCTCACCATCGGTGTCGCCAAACTGCTCCGTCTCCAAAACGTGCGTACGCACGGCTCAAAGTTTGCTTAAAGGTGCGCACATTCTCCCGTCAAGTTTGTTTTTTATAGATCACAACCTTTGCGTGGAAACTGGCGTACGTACGTTTCCAGCCCCGTGTTGTGCGTACGCACACTTTATAAATGAGACCCCAGGAAAGGATAAAAGCACATCCGGTCTGACTGGCGCTAGCTTCTGTGCCTCAGCAAGTGCTCTGTGTTACAAACTGTCTGTCATATTTATTGTTGTCTGTAACGAAATCATACAGATATATATAATATCTGTGTCCAAACAATCATATAAGTTGTGTGCTTCTCCTTGCCCTCGTTATATGATGGGTGGGGATACAACAGTGTCCTGTTGGTCGGTCTGTTCGGGTCAAGCCGAGTGTGGTTTTCAGACCTAATATCCTGTATATCCTATATCAGACCTCTCCCCTGGAGCTGGCGGTCAGGAGGGACCTTCTATCATAGGCGGGGGGAGCAATCCTCCATCCCCGCCCGGAAACATTCAACTGTTTGGGCTCTGAGGGGGCCCAACTCATAGACTCTGGTCTCTCTGGAGGTTGTAGAGACCATAATTAACTCCTGGGGCCAGTTGCATAAACTTAGCCACTTTGTTAAGACGGTGTCTTAAGAACTAGTTTGAACAGTAAGACAAGAGGTGATCAGTCTTACATTTCGATTTAAAGAAGAAGATGAGACTGTTCTGCCTTTTCATGTAAATGACTTTAAAATGTTAGAACCAGTCTTGAAGAAAAAATTAGATGGCTAACTTTTAAGACTAGTCTAAGAAGTTTATGCAACTGGCCACAGAGCTCCGTTCACTAGGAAGCTATACGCCCTGAAATGGAGAGTGTTTACCTCTTAGTGTAATCTAAGACAATGGGATCCAGTTAATTGCACTGTTAGTTCAATACTTGAGTTCCTGCAAGATCGTTTTGCTTCAGGGTTATCTCCTTCCACACTGAAGGTTTATGTTGCTGCCTACCTGCATACCTGTTGGAAGAGATCCTCTGATTATAAGTTTCCTTCGTGGCACCCTGAGGCTGAGGCCTGCAGTCCGTACCAGACTTCCAGCTTGGGATCCGGCTCTCGTTCTAGAAGGTTTATCTGTCGCTCCCTTTGAGTTAGAGCACTGGACACTTACGTCCACAGAGTTGCCTATTGGAGGAAGTCTAATCAGTTGCTGGTTTGCTTTGGGCCCCCTAAAAAAGGACTGCCTGCATCCAAGCAGACTGTCAGCAAATGGATAGTCGAGGCTATTTCACTTGAGTATGAGGTTGTTGGCCAGTCTTCATCTTTGGCCACTAGAGCCCATTCTACTAGGGGAATGGCGGCCTCCAAGGCCCTGATTTCTGTGGTTTCCCTTCAAGAAGTTTGTGATGCATCGGACTGGTCTTCGCCGCTCATGTTTGTCAGATTCTACGATTCAAACATGGATATCCCTGGGTCTAGAGTTCTCATGTCGTTACAGTTTTAACACGACAGGTTCTTGGCCGTATGGCATTCGGGCATTCTCGTTCCCAAAGCGTCATCGACGCTGCGCGAGTTCCCTCGAAAGGGAACCTCTCAGGTTACGACTGTAACCCTAGTTCCCTGAGTAGGGAACGAGACGCTGCTTCACTTTGCCATAATTCCTACATCCCTGTGATCGACTTGCTTTGGCCTTTTCGAAGCTAGAGCCGGTCAGACCGGATGTGCTATTATTCTTTCCTGGCCCTGATGTCAGCCGTTGACACATATGCTTCAGACGCAATTTCGCGGGGCCGTTCCCAAAGCATCATCGGGTTAAGTAACAGTCGTAAGCTGAGACGTTTTCTGATGTTGGTAAATGGTCACATGACATACAGGTACACTACTGTTTAAAGGTTTGGGGTCAGTAAGATTTTCTTTTAAAGAAATTAATACTTTTATTTAGCAAGGATGCATTAAAATCAAAAGTGACAGTAAGGACATTTATAATGTTACAAAAAATTATATTTCTAATAAATGCTGTTCTTTTTAAATTTCTCTATACATCCAATATATAAATCCTGAAAAAAATGGTTAACAAAAAAAATATAACTGTTTAACTGATAATAATAATAAGAAATGTTTCTTGAGGGGCAAATCAGCAAATTAGAAGGATTTCTGATGGATCATGTGACACTGACAATAGATTTAGTCAACTAAAATCTAACAGTCAGTAAAAAAGAACAAAAATAAGATACAATACAATCGATTAAAGATACAAATGAAATAAACAGTGTTTTAGGTTGTCGGGTATTCAGGTAAGAAATACTAGAGAAATTGAATAAAGTAATCACAGGTAAAATAACAGTGCAGTCTTTCTTGGATAAACCCTTATTACAGCTACTAAAGTTACTCAGTCAAGAGCAGTGAGTGATTTTATCTTTGTCTTTTGTTGTTTGAAATAACATTAAGGACTCAGACAGAAGCTGGTTTAGGCATAATGGACTGTGTTTAAATGGAAACTCGCCAAAACGGGCAGTTCGATATTTTTGTGTGTGTCTAATTGTCCTTGGAAATGCATGATAAACTTTCGGTAAATTTCTTCAACTGTCTCATTGTCGAGCCCTGTATTGTATTGTACATTTCTTTGTGTTTTGCCAGAGATTGTTACGTTGCTCGACACAGTTTACAAATGGCCTTGTTCTCCTTGATATCAAGATAAGACATGAGAGTGTATGCTATTAACCCGCCGGATCGATCAGTGCATTACCATTAAAATGTGCACATCTAACCTCCCTATCACGCAAAGAGATTTGTCATCAAAAACTGTCTTTTATGTAGTTATTGTCTCATTTTTGTCAGTGGAAAAATGTTGTGGACGAATAATTTCGTTTTGTCAACAACATTTTTTCACTGTTTTCCACCCTTATTCTGACCCTAAGCAATAAAGGGACTCTTTGCAGATGATTTAAAGGCACTGTCGCTGTGCAACCCTTATTTGCGAGCTGTGAATTTGCTTTTGGATAAAGTACACCCTGTCATCCTTTAATATCAGCCTCTTTGCATCTCCATTGTGACGGATCCATAAAACCATTGTTTCTCAAACCATTAAGATCCGAATGAAACGATCAGGGTTATGTTCTTGATTTAAATTATCTTGTTAAGATTTGCATTTTTAGTTTCAATAAATGCTCTTTTTGGACGGACTCCCAATGATATGACCCCTATAATAAACAAGTTCAACAAAACAAGGAATATTTTATTGGTGTACAAAAGCAAGACAGATCTAAATCAATTTTATGGGGCTAAAGGCCTAATATAGTTCAATGACGGTCAGTTTTCTTTCATAGTGTTATTAATCAAATCATGCTTAGTCTACGTAAGTGTACAAGAGACGCAACCTTCAATTTCTGTATCTGTACGCAAACAAGATAGCACAGCCTTTAATCACAAACCCTTCCTGAAGCACACACACTTTTACATACAGTATACACATTTTAAACCAAAAATGTTGTACTTGAAATAATATTCAATACAACTGTGGTAAATACCATAGTATTTGGATGATATTTAAGTCATAATCTGCTAATAAATGTTTCTCTTTCTCTCTCTCTTTTCAGGAATCTCTTTAACAATGGATTTCAAGAAATAGAAAGCCATGCATTTAATGGAACTATAATAGATAAACTGTAAATATTGACAAATTATAAATACACTAATACCTATTCAGTATACTACGGTATGTGTGCTGTATAATCACGGTGTAATCTGTTTGTTTTGCAGAGTATTAAAGAACAACAAAGATCTGCGTTTAATCCATGAAGACGCTTTTAAAAAAGCATTTGGCCCCACTACGCTGTAAGTGATACAACAGTGAAATACTGCTGCCTTTCTCTTGCAAATTCTGGCTCTTTACTTCACTGTTTCACCGTTCATCTTCTCTGGAGTGAACGCTTTGTGTCAGGTCTTATCAGATGTCAATTTGAATGACTAAATCTGGGGTGCATTACCTTACTCTAGTCTAGACTAGAGCTTTACCACACCTGCCTTAGCTTTTAAGAAAACCTGAAGATCTTGATTGGCTGGTTTAGGTGGGATTGATTGCCGTATGAAGACTTGAGGAGCAGGTCATGACATGAGAAATCAAATTTGCCTTGATGGTTTTACATATAAGGGTGTTATATGTAAAAAGGTCAATAGCAAATCACAACCATCTAATCAATTCCTCATGGACAATTTCCTAAAAAAAATTCTTGTTCGAGAAGCCGTTTCACTCTAGCCTGGGTTTCCCCATACTGCCTTTGCGCAGCGCGATTTTATTCACGCTGCTAGGCAGTCTGGATACCATCATTGACAGTAAAAGAAATGGACACAGCAACCCCATAGACTTCAACTGAGAAAAGTGAAGTCAAATAGAAGCACTCACTTCCTGATTGCCAAGCGCACTGCGCATGCTCAAACTGAGCTTGAAGACGTAGTTGTGACGTGAGCAACCTGACTGACAGTTGTACGTCTTCTAGTAGCGGTGCCAAGAGGAATCTGAATCATTCCCTTCTGAATCTGGCAGAGCCGGAGAGCGTGAGTATTAGCTGTTCATGAGCTCGCAGCAGGAGCAACTTTATGACTCTCCATGGGCTTCTCCCTTGACTTTATGCCTCCACGTCCCCCGATTGCGCGTGAGCTTCTACATCTGTCTTTACGGTAATTTCTCTTCTATGCGACAGAGAGTCGCGTGTTATGACGCAATCGTTAGCCTATTTTTACTAAAACTGCTTCTACGGGGCCACAACGTAAGATACAAGGTAATGGAGCATTTTATACATTGTCGTGTTTCTTTAGAAATAAAAAATGGACAAATGGAGTCTTTAAACGCCTCAGATGTAAAGTTATTCGCTGTCAAAGTGATGCAAAAATGAATGGGAGTCAATGGAATGCTAACAGCAGGTGAAGGCTTGCTAGCCCATAGATATAAACACTAGATGTCGCCTTGGGGTTCTAAACATGCGTCAAAACCGCCGCCATCTTGGAACAGGGGTCTTGTCATAGGAAGTAGCTAGGTAACGCTGAATTCATGGATGATGCCGGACTTTTGTGCTGCGTATGGATGTTTACACGAACGAAATCTAAAAACCAGACAGCAAGGGATTACATTTAACAAGATTGTGAAATTTTGTAAACTTTTTTAAATTTCTCTGGACTCTATATTAAATACATGTCTGACCGTTGGAACGAACCAAAACAACTAGAAAATCGCATTCATGACGATTTATGGTGATTTTATTTCCGTTAGACCTTTTCCTACATTGACGCTGATGAGGGGTTCCCCTGTTTCAAGATGGCGGCTCTATTGACGCATTCGTTCCAATGAACTGCCGTAGCCAAGGCGACATCTAGTGTTTATATCTATGTTGCTAGCCAATGGCGGCGCCCAGGGAGACTTCAGTTTCCGGCTGGTGGATTACCCCCTTGGATACCATGGACCAAATTTTCGCCTCAGCGAGGGGACCAATCACAGAACGGGGAGGGAGCAGCAAGACGATGACGACGTCTATGCGACACACCGAAGCAGTTTGTTTATACCTATGGATCAAACATGGCAGCAGACCCGAAGTTACCTTTCGATGCAGCCTTAGATATTGTTCTAAGTAGTTTACAACGCAAATAAATCTCTGACCCATCGTCTTCCTCCTCGTCTAATTTCTTTCGCTCTACATACGTCATCTGGTATAATTGAAACGATTGGCTATGAGCTACGTACAGGCGCATTTGATAGACATTCGTAGCACCCGATAAACGGCTCTGGGCATTCGTAAACCACGCCTCAAATACGAGAAAATGAACATGTGGTTCCCAGACCACATCTCAATGTCAATGAGACGTGGTCTGACGTTAGCCAGGCTAGTTTCACTCAGAAATACGTCTCAATAGGGAAGAAAACTTCAGTTTCATGCCAACTTCAATGCAGCATTTCACTCTCTGTTGTTCACCAGGGATGTTTCGTCTACAGCGTTGGAGACACTGCCCTCTCATGGTCTGGAGTCTGTGTTGATGCTGGTGGCTCGTTCGGCGTTCGCACTGAAGAGACTGCCTCCACTGAAGGGACTGAAGAGCCTGAGAGATGCACAGCTCACGTATCCCAGCCACTGCTGCGCTCTGCTCAGCTGGGACTCGCACAGGTCAACATATCAAATCAGTTTAGGTGTCATAGTGGAGTCAAATATTCCTCTGTCATTTTGAATAAGAGCATCACTGGCACTTCTTCCTCAGAGAACGTCATAAAATTAAGCTCCAATAAGAGAACTTGACATTTATCTTTGATATTATGATTCACTGTTCAGATTTGAAGCAGAGGATTGTCAGTGTAATTCAATTCCTTCATTTTCTGCTTTTCATATAGGGAGGGTTCTGTTATTGCTGCATTGAGAAATGGATCATCAAACTGTGATGACAACAGCGAACTGGCTAAGTACGTTTGGTTAGTCTGATGTAGTATTGACATGTTTTGTTCTATTGTTTACCTATTAATTATAATCTTCTTTATAGATTCAGCAGGCTCATAAGAAAATTAATTTTCTAAATGAAATATTTTAAATATATCAGCTGGTAACGAATAAGAGCAAATGGAGACTTTAAGTATTCTGCTTCTCATAGTTTTTCATGAGAAAAAAAAGAGATTTGTATCCTCTCGAGTTGTCAACAATGTCTCCAACTGTATTTGCCAGGATACCAAAGTCTGGAATCACATCTGAGATCTCAATCTCTGAATCTTTGAACTTGGTATTCAGACCAAATTAACTGAGCTATGCAATCCATATGAATTTTACAGCTCTTTACTCTTGACGTACAGTACTGTGCAAAAGTCAGGAAGGTTTCTTCAGGAGTCTTGGAGATGTTGCCGCAGTTCTTCTGGTTTTAGTCTGTCTCAGTTTTTTTCTGTTTCTTCATGTAATTACAAACTCGATGATGTTGAGATCAGATCATACTGGCTGCTGTTGTGCATACTTGCTACTACGACTCCTTGTGCATACAAAAATCTCACTGGATTATTACAATTAATGGCAAAATGAATGTTTGGAAATGTAAACTGACACACTACAACAAGATACAAATAACTGGCTTAAAAACATTTTTGGGGGGTGAAAATATTAACATGCCTAAGACTTTTACACAGTACTGTATATCAAAAATAAACTGATTATTACTATTTTTATAACAAATCATTTTAGATGAAATGTCTGTCACAATTTTTCTGAATGTTTTTAGAAGATTCTAAAAATGGCACAATAACTCCATAGCATACAAGCTTAACCTCTCTAATTTTAGTATCATTGATATACTATTATATTTTATATTGATATTTCGATTTTTATTTTAAGGTTTTGTCATTTTATTTGTTTTTTATATGTCTATATAGTTTTAATTATTTTTTATTTTAGTTTATTTTAGTCAGTTTAATTATTTAGTTAATTATTTAGACTATTTAGTAAGTTAAACTAAATTAAAATGGTACCGATAACTATTTTTAATGTTTTTGAAAGAAGTCTCTTCTGCTCATCAACCCTACATTTATTTAATCAAAAATACAGAACAAACAGTATTATTGTTAAGTATTATTACAATTTAAAATAACGGTTTTCTATTTGAATATACTTTAAAATATAATTTAATTCTGTGATCAAAGCTGTATTTTCAGCATCATTACTCCAGTCTTCAGTGTCACATGATCCTTCAGAAATCATTTTATTATCAATGTTGGAAGCCGTTGTGCTGCTTGACATATTTTATAAAATGTGATACATTTTCAGGATTCTTTGATGAGTAAAAAGTTACAAAAGGAACATCAAAAAGATCAGCATTTATTGAAAATAGAAATATTTTGTAACAATATACACTAGCCTACCGTTCAAATGTTTGAGGTCAGTAGTTTTTTTTCTTCTGTAAAAAAAGAAAGAAATTAAAACTTTTATTCAGCAAAAAACGTTGTATGTTGTTAGAAAAGATTTATATTTTGAATAAATGCTGTTCTTTTTAACTTTTTATTCATCAATGAATCCTAAAAAAACTATCACAGGTTCCAAAAAAATATTGTTTCCAACATTGATAATAACTGAGTATCAAATCAAAGGATCATGTGACACTGAAGACTGGAGTAATGATGCTGAAAATTCAGCTTTGATCACAGGAATAAATTACAATTTAAAGTATATTAAAATAAAAAAACATTTGTTTCAAATTGTAATAATATTTCACAATATTACTATTTTTTCTGTATTTTTGATCCAATAAATGCAGCCTTGCTGAGCAGAAGAGACTTCTTTAAAGCAACACTAAGTAAGATTTTTTACCTTAAAATAATGTTTCCAAAATCGTTTCAGTGGTTCATTAAGTCGTAACAGGGTGAAAGGCACTTCTGGACTTCCTATATCTGCTATAACCACGCTATGTAAGATTGCCAGATCGGGTCGCGTTTCTGTAGTTCTAATGAGACATAAGAAAACTACAAATTTGACTTGCTTTACGGCAAGCGTTACAATAGTCATTATTTTGTTTTTCTTCGTTTCTGATGTCGCAATACATCATACTTTCATGAAATCATGCAACATACTCTACCTTGTCTGTGGACATCGTTCATTCCAAAGCCGGTGCCGGATAAACAGCGAGCGCGCGTGCGACAGTAGGATGCGCTAGGCTAAAGTATTTACGACAGCGGTAATGGACAATTCCACTTCCAGCCTGTAGGGCGACCGCAGAGGAAAAGTTACTTGGTGTTGCTTTAAAATACATTAAAAATAGTAACGTTTCCAAACTTTTGACCGGTACTGTATATATAACTCTACTTAGGCAAAGTATTGTATTGTGTAATATTTTCCCAATACTGTGACATTGACCATTTTCACCCTGTGTCCTCTCCTCAGTCCATCTGAGATCGATGCTTCTCTAATGCTGGACGATCCTCTTGCATCCGACATTGCTGGATCCACATCAGCTGAAGACACTTTTGGAAATGGAATAGAGTTCTATTACCCAGAGCTGGACCTGTGTCAGCGTCGACCGGCCCTGCAGTGCATCCCCGAGGCGGACGCGTTCAACCCCTGCGAGGACATCGCCGGCTTCGGCTTCCTGCGAGTGGCCATCTGGTTCATCAACGTCCTTGCCATCGCCGGCAACCTCACGGTGTTGCTCGTGATCTTCACCAGCCGCTGCAAGCTGACCGTCCCGAGGTTCCTCATGTGCCACCTGGCCTTCGCCGACCTCTGCATCGGCCTGTATCTCCTTATGATCGCGACCGTGGACCTCAGGACACGTGGACACTACAGTGAACACGCTATTGAGTGGCAAACAGGAGTGGGATGCGGCATCGCCGGGTTTCTGTCAGTTTTCGGCGGCGAGTTGTCCGTCTACACGTTGTCTAGCATTACCGTGGAGCGCTGGCACACGATCACGCACGCTCTCCGACTGGAACGCCGTCTGGGATTGAGCCACGCTTCTGCGATTATGACCGGCGGATGGTTGCTCTGTCTAGCATTGGCTCTGCTTCCCTTGATAGGCGTCAGCAGCTACAACAAGGTCAGCATGTGTTTGCCGATGGACATCGAGACTCCTTTATCCCAAGCCTACGTTATGCTCCTGCTGCTTTTCAACGTCAGCGCTTTCCTGGTGATTTGCGGCTGCTACGTGTGCATTTACACGGCCGTCCGTAACCCAGAGTTCCCGGGACGCGCCGCGGACGCCAAGATCGCTAAGCGCATGGCAGTGCTAATCTTCACCGATTTCCTCTGCATGGCGCCCATCTCGTTTTTCGCCATTTCCGCGGCCTTCAAAGTCCCGCTCATCACGGTGACCAACTCTAAGATCCTCCTGGTGCTCTTCTACCCCATCAACTCGTGTGCAAACCCGTTCCTCTATGCCATCTTCACCAGGGCCTTCAGGAAAGATGCATGTGTCCTGCTGAGCTCCATGGGCTGCTGTGAGAGCAAGGCTAACTTGTATCGAATGAAGACGTATTGCTCGGAGAACATCAACCGAAGCAAAAGCAGCTCCGGCTCCAATGCCAACTCCAAAGCCCCTCGCGCCGTCATGTGGATGTCCAGCTTCCCTCATCTAACACCTCGACCGCAGGTGCAAAAGGTCTAAACGGACACATTCAGACTCGGCTAATTTAGACATGATCTTGTTTCTTGGTGTTCTGCCCTTGAACTTAGCTGAATCTTATCTAAGAGACTCGGGGAAGGAAGATGGTACCATTTTCATGAGGACTCATTTCGCAGCTCATTTTCACTCAATGACTTACACGGGTCTTTTGAGAGAGAATGTAGCACCCAAAGAGGCTGTTGTTAGTGGGTAAATGCAGCAAAAAGCAGCATTATGTCACCAGTCTGTGTTTAAGTCATTTTCAGTAACTCTTTGCATGCATTTTCAGCCTTTTGGTGTCAGAATTAAACCTGATTATTGCATGATTGCTGTAAAATAGTTTAATTACCGTAGTCAATGTAAGGCTTTTTAATGTGAAAAAGAGTTTTCTTATTTAAGTTATATAACTTATCTAGTTGCAATCACGGATGTTTAAAGAACACGTTCCAGAGCTGTTGTTTTACACCATGGAAGAGCGCCACTTTGTGGACAAATCCAATTATTGTTCTAAAAACATTTCAAATGAAGGTCGTTTTTATTATTATTATTACCATGTAGTATTTGAAATCAAATAAAATGAAAGCAAAATGTAATTGCAGTCTTTCACTATGTACTTTAATTCCTCAAACTCATATAGTATATTTGACTCAGGGAATATATTTGAGTCAGGTATTTTATATTTGGATAGCCTAGAGTTTTTCAGATTTATATTTATAAAGCACTTTTTTTTCTTTCTTTTTTTTTTACATATTGTTTCAAAATAGTTTCACAATGTCTGAATTAGGGGTGTCGCAATATACCGGTATTGACGATAATCGTGATATTCAATGCTTGAAATATCGACATCGTGTTAATTTAGAGTGTGGCAATATACCGGTATTGGCGATAACCACGATGTTTATAATGAGTAGGACTTTTATGATAACATGACACGTATACTCCAGCGCCAGTTGAGGTGGCAGTATTGCACCCATAGACAGTACCCGCTGACATCTATCAAATGAGAAGAAGACGCAGCGCGCGCCCGCGCAGCCATTCTGGTATGGGAGTTCTTCGGCTTCAAAGAAAACAGCACTTTAAAGGGGGTCGAGAAGCGCAGAGAATTCTTTAAAATTCGAACACATTATGTTCTAGGAGTTTACACACACCACCGGCACCATTCGGCGTCTGTCCGCGACGCCCAGCAATGGCTCGGATTTTCAGGTGAGATTCTCAAATCATTCAATTAACGGATGCGCTCTGACTGAGGTAAAGTGTTCAGACTGCAGACTTAGCAACGATTGTATTTAATTGTACAGTACAATCATAACATAGTACAGACATGTTCTTAATTTCATAATGTCCTTAAACATAACATTATTGCTGGCCATGAACTGAGAAAGTGCGCGTCAGGTGTGCTACACGCGGCACGGCGCGGAGCCGCGCTTCTCGTCCGGTGTGCGACCCCCTCGCCCAACCCATCTCCGTGTCCATCACCCTGCGGATTACGCTATTTTACAGAGAGTAAATTGCGATTACTTTAATAGTCATGGAATGGGAAATGTGACATTAACCTGTTAACAGAGGTTTTTTTTTTTCATATGTTTAAATAAAGGGTGATTATTAAGTACCCCGTTTTCTTTACTCGTCTTATTTTTGTATTTTTGTATTTGCACTTGATTTGTTTTGTTCAAATCTGCATGACTTGTACAGGTGTTCTGACGATTTGTGCTGCCTTGTCGAAAAATGCTACCGTAGTGCGAATCGATCACAGAATGTCGATTAATATTATATGAAATACAATTATAATACAATTCTAAGTTATGAGTAGCTACTGTATACTGTAGACTACTGTTTTTATTTTTTAAACGGTGTGAAAAGTAGAAATTATCATCAAATATTGACTTGTCAAAGCACACCTTTCCTTAGTAACTGAAACTTTCAATTATTCTTGTTCAGCTGGCTGACCGTACAAATATTCATATGGTAGTTATCATTTTTTAAAGGGAAATTACTTTATAACACATGAAAATTTACCTTTTGTTAAAAAAAAAACTGAGTCTGCACATGCGCATAACCAGTAAGTAGCAAATCTCGATGGGTAGCATGAATCGTCAGAACACCGGCGCAACAATAGGTTTAAGAGCTTTTCAGTTCTACATTCAGACAGTGTTTCGCTCCAGTTTGAAACCAGATATACTTCACATGCTTGTCTTACTTCACAAAAATGTGCATTCAAATATAAGAACGCAAGAAGTAAAAAGGCAAAAAAAAGATCAATTAAATAAAGTAAAAATTGACATTTCCCCCCCAAGGTTTCTATAGATATCGCGATATATCGATATCGTGACGTGAATTATTTTGGCCACAATAACCGTGGTGTGAAAAATCTAACATCGTGACAGCCCTAGTCTGAATGAGGAAATGGAGGGTAAAAGTCAACAACAGTGTACAACAACACAGCAAGTGCAGTACATGTGGACAATGAAATGTATTTTTCAACAATTAGCCATCAAAAATAAGCATGAAAATATTAATTGTAAAATATTAATAAACAGTACAAATAAGTAGTGTGCGGCTAATTAAAAAATATGTGAAATAAAACAAATGCAAGATGAGAGATTAAATTAAATAAAAATGTTAGATAATAAAAATATATAACAAAACATAATAGAAGGGTCATTGACAAATAAAGCTTCAAAAAAGGTTTAAAAAAACACTTTTCAAATGTAATGCATGTTTTTGAGTCATGAACAATGTGTTTAAACAAGTTTCAGTTGTTAAATTAAATTTCTAAGTGTTTAAATTCATTTTTTTTTTACTGTTTTTATGTCAGACCGTACAACCAAATACAGTATACTGTTGTTGTACCACCTGACATGGAAAGTGTAACAAAAGTTTTTCAATTATCTCAACAGCTTTAAATCTCCTGATATTTATCAAATTTGTTTATATGAAAGGTTTCAAACCTAAAATGATTATGATGCCATAGTAGGCTATTTAGTTTTTAATTTTTAATTAAGACACCATTTTAAATAGTTTTATTAGTTTGTTAATTTGTTTGGACAGTTGCATCAGCTGACATTTAGGGGAGCTAAGATAACAAAACATAAAAAAAAAACATAAAAAACCATAAAATAATATGTATTATTTAATGTACTAAAAATGAATTCGAACTAAATATGTTTTATAGAATAAAGTGATATGTCATAGATTTATCAAATAATTTGGAAATATAAGGAAATATTATTATAAGGAAATAACGCACTTGGACACAAAAATATGCATGTCATCAATATGTCATAAAACAAAACACACACGGGTAGTGAGTTTGTCAGGAGCGCGCATCCCAACCTGCTGGTGACGTCACGCTAGGGACCGCGCTCCTCCAGCGAGAGCGCGCGTGGAGTCTGCTGCATTCGTCACGGCGAAACACACACACATTCCTTCGTGTGTTAAATGACCCCGAGAAAACAGAAAAGAAGATGTTATTTGCTCTGCACATAGTACTCTGCCTCGAGTGGATATTCGTGTGACACATTTATACGAGACGAACGAGGAAAGGAACCGTTATGGTGTTTATTTTAGGCAAAAGTTTCTCAGCGATGTTGCGTTTTTTAACTCCACTGCTCGTCGGATTGTTTTCACAGTCAGTGACAACTGGTAAGATGTGTGTTTTCCTTTAAGTTACTGTTTTCTCTTTGTGCATGCTTTAAAAGCAGCTGAAGCAAAAACCTTAAAAAGTTTATTGTTCAGAAAGTCTTAATAAAACTTGTGCATGTGCTGAGATTTGTCTTGTGCTGTTTAAAATGGCATTTTGCTTTGTTTGTGTCAAATGGAAGCGATGTATGCGCAGGAGCTTTAAGTGGAATCATGTTGTTAACACAAAAACTGCTTTTATACATAAAAAAGAAAAACTTTAACGTTAGTTGTTTGTTTTAGTTGTTACTTATTATGTGCTTTGCAAAATACTGGGTTATTTCAGCCAATTCACGGTAACTTTTAGAGGATTACTAACACTGCTAAAATAATCTGCTCTAGTTTCATAACTAGAGTTTAGAAACTAAATAGGTTTAGAAACTAAATATTACTGCGTTAAGTTAGTTCATGTGGTCAAAAAGATAAGATTTTACTGATCCAGGTGTAATTTGTTTTACAGTACAGTATCACGTTAAATATCAAGAATAAAATCTAAATGACAAAAGCAAAAGTTTATTATATGAATAAGTTTGATAAACTGACAAAAAATATTATGATTCATATACAAAATTGGTGACAGAACATTATATCCCAGACTAACTTTGATGCACTGAAGCAAAATGTTTGATTTTTATATTATGCGGAAATTTATATTTCTTGCTGGATTATGTATCTGAAATCTCCTCAGTGCTCACTGGGATTGTGAAAACCTCTATATAAGACTTGGAATTTTCTATAAAACCTGGATCTGTTTATAATATCTTTTAATAAACAAGTGGAAGTGCTTAGTGTGAACATGTGTTCATTGCATTCTAGCTCTTGTTAACTTGGCAGAGTTTATCGACAAAGAAAATAGATTTCTATCACTAAATCATTGCTCTACACTACAACAACTGATAATTTAACTGTGCATATGAATTGTGCAATACGAGTTGAATGTGTTGTTTTTTTATCTAGTTTAATGAATCCGTTTGTAGTATATATAAAAGGCCCTCGCAATAAGAGCTGCGTATGCTTCCTTTGATAACAGATTCCTTTAGAGAAAGAATTTCCTTTTGCTCCTAGAGAACAGGATACTGGTTTCCCACTGCTTTTCTGAAGCAATGCCAGAGCTGAGTCACATACCTAAATAACAAGGATTTCCCTTACTGAAAAGCAGTGCAGCTGAACCATGTGTACCATATAGCGAGGAACTCAAATGTGTTTGCATTATAATTCAAAAATGATGGTAGTACCATGGTCAAGTCGCCTTTATTCATACAGCGCTTTATACAATACAGATTGTTTCAAAGCAGCTCTACTGTGATAAACATGAAAATAATGATGCTTTCTGTCACTACGACCATCCTCTTACAGCATTGGTCCTACATTGTGTTCACACAGGGTGCATTCTGGGACTAATCCCAGCAATGTTACTAGGTCCCCATCCCGGGATCGATCCCAGGACGTGTTTGCGTTCACACAGATGGCACTCTAGTAGCAATCCTATGGCAATTTTCTGGGATCAACACTCTGTGTGAATGAAAGGGGATTTTGAGTCAGTTCAATGTTGATTCAATTCAGTTCAATAACAGTGTCGATTTTGCAAAATTCATCAATTATGAAACAAAGTCGAATCATCTATAAAGCAGCTCTACAGAAATCTGTGGTGTCATCATTCAGCTCAATTCAGTTCAAGTTTCGTTGCCGTCCAATAGTGGCCACTTTTAGATTCTATTAGATACTAGATTAATTGCAGACTTTAGATGCAGCACACCAGGCCCTTATTTGTACATGTAAATGTAGTAAAACATCTTCACTTGCATGGTATGCTTATATTGACGAAAACTCTGATGTCCTCAAACAGTTGCCAGTTGGAAGCATCCCCTCACTGTCGTCCATCATGGAGGTTCATCACCGCATTGGGTGAGACAGGGCCGTTCTTTCCGTCCAACGCAGGCAACGGAGCCGCTGATTGTCCCGGGACGAGCCTCCAGTGTACATCTCTCACAGGAGGAGATCCAGAAGCTGCGCTTCAAACCCACCGTGGGCAAAATCCAGCGGTCGGAGGGGACAGAGGTCACGTTTAACTGCTCCATAGACGTCAATGATGTGAGCCAGGCCCAGGACCTGAATATTCTGTGGTTTAGGAACGGGAAGGAAATCCCTGATGGCATGCAGACGCAGATCTACATACAACGGACTTACATCTTACAGTCCACTATAAGGTGAGAGGACGTAAAACAGCCATTCAATTGTGACCAATTCATAGTTTTCATGTGACGTCACTCCATTATAGGCCATTTCAAGGACGTAAACTATAAAAAATGTGTTGGAATGCTACTGCGCATGTCTGGTTCTGAAGTATTGGTGGTACCATTTTTAAATCTCAGATCTGTCCAAACAAGCTTGTAAGTAACTTCGAAGTTTATCGAAAAGGCAACAGTTGAGAAAATAAACGATGATTGGTATAACCGGACCCTTTCAAACAAGACTTTGATGCGTAAACTAACTTTATATTGCTAGTTGCTTAGTATCCAGGCTTCTCGCTTCACTGCTGCAATCCAGGTGCGTTTTCGGAAATCCAAACACTTTAATTTCCAAAAGAAGGTTAGTTTCGGGTGAGAGAGCACCTAACTATCGAGCAACAAGGACCTAATTTTTATTTTGATATTTTTAAATAGCAGGATTCAATACCACTGTACATCAAGCGCATCCTGCCATTGTTTTGAATGCGTTTGACAACTAACCGTAAACCGACGAATTGCCGTTGAAATGGTCTTGGAACGCCCATCTGGAGGGCAAAACAAGCCTTTCCTCCATTGCCCGACAGTCATTTTTACCAGGTTTGTAGTAAGACAGTGATATTAAAAGACCAAATTCAATATACACCTTACTGATTATGCAAACTTTGCACAGGCAAGCAAATGAACACAGAATATTAATGCAAAACGAGGTTTCTCGTTTAGTATTTTTCCTTAAAAAACCATTATAGAAAACACGTTGCGTTCATATTCTCATACGAAAACACGGATCAACATCGGCAGAGCGTTTGAATTATGGAGAGACCTCCGTTATTTTTATTGTGATAAATTACAAGTTTTCAGATATGCTAAAATAATGTTAAACTGTAATGAAATAGCAAGGTAAACTACAAAATATATGATACATGAAATGAATACAAAAGACTGTTCCAGGATAACAAAAGTAGGTGCTTTAGGATGTAACTTTTATTTTAGGTACTAGATCTACTGTCTAACGTCACTTATCCCACTACTATCATATTGTTTATAATACACATTTCCAGACACGTTCAGTACAGTAATGTTACTTCCTACGATCTTACTGTTACACTGAAATTGTTCAGTCTAGTTCACTAACCGTTTTCGTTATCATATTATACATTCACCTATGTTGACATTGCTAATAGTGAAAGATACACATATAGTTAGTGAAATGCCTTATGCTAGATAACACCACATGTCGGCTAAATGCAGTCAATGTAACGTTATCATGGTACGAGCATGGAGCATTAGTTCAACGTCAAGCTGATAAAAGTAGCCTATTATTGTAACGTTGCAGTGGGAGTTTACATGAGTTTCCAGCATGTTGTGTGATGCTTTCTCCGTGTGTTGAAAGTCTCAGTGTTGCCGGTACCATGAGTGCTCGCTCTTGTGTTCGAGCACGCGCAAGAGCATGAGCACTCTTGTAAAAATTGGTTGCAATCTGAAACATCACCGATAGAGGCCGCTAAAAAATACATATAGCACCTTTAAGTGGTGCAACACAACTCGATTTAAAATAAAACCCAGATCAACAAATCCTTGATTAGCGTTAAAATTTTCTTAATTTAATCCTTATTGGTGCAACACATCCCTAAGTGTTTTTCACGCTTCCTCTCTGTTTTTAGTGATTGAAAGACTGCAGTAGGTGCTGTATATAGAACACAAATGCCCAAAACTTCATCTTGTTCACATACTTTTCGAAAATTGACAGGCTTGTGCTGCTGTTTTGCCCTCCAGGGCTCCGCGACAGTCACGTGACTAAAAACTATGAATTATGACCAGACGGCCAATGCTGTATCTGTCTATGTTTGGAGAATATTGGTATTGGCAGATGACAAGTTTGCCCATTCAGATTAACAGATGAGAGTTAGTTTCAGAGTCTACCAATATCCTTGTAATTGTATAATAGATTTTTTTTTTTGTCAGTGTAGTTTGTTTTTTGTGAATGTTAAGGAAATCCATTCAAGACACCTTTTCCATGAATACTTAATTAATTTTGTTTATATTTTTTTATAAAAAAAAAATTTAATTACATTTTTTAAAATAAAATTGAATGCAAGTAACACAAATAAATCTCAAAATTAAATAAATCTAAATTTTCATATTTTTTCTACTCTTCTACTGTAATATTATTAGAAAGTTGCATTGGTTATTCTCGTCTGCTAAATTAATAAATGTAAAAGAAGTCTAAATGCTTGTTTAATTTCAGCAATATTATGCATGTTGCAATTGCTACTGTGTTAAGTTGCATCCGCCTATGCATAAAATATCTGCACTGTATCTTTCATCAGCCAACTTTCTCTTTGAAAAACTACTAAGGGTAAAATTTCATACTACACTGTTTTGTGACTCTAAAGCTGTAAAATCAAATCTTTACTTGTTTATTTATTTCCTTTGGCATCATCTTTCAGCATTAAAAGTGTCCAGAGAGCAGATGCTGGAGAATATCACTGCAGGCTTAGTGTCAGTAACAAGATCATTGAGTCAAATCCCATCATTTTAGAAGTAGAAGGTAAGTAAACCTTCAACCCAGCACACAAACATTTGCTTATGCATTTTAGACAGTTGATGTTTTCCACTTTTACTCGCATCCAGGCCTGCCGACCTTCACTACACAGCCGAGTGACGTGAACATCACGAGAAACACTTCCTTCAGGCTGAGCTGTGAGGCGGTCGGTCCCCCGAACCCTGTAATCATTAAGTGGCTTCAAAATGGCACGAGATTTGTAGAACGCAACGAGTCCTCCAGCACCATCACTGTGAAAGGTGAGAACGTTGGCTTCTTGTATGGTCCTCAGCGCTGCCCTGTTTCTTTAATTTAGCTGTAGATTTAAAATGCTTTAGTTTCTTAAAGAGGCTATATGTAAGAATTTTCATGTATTAATAGGTTTTTAATTGCCAATGTGTGAACAGTGGGGCCTTGAATCACGTTCAGCCTCTTGTACGTAACGTGTTCACAAGCGATAAGTTGCTGACTGCAGTTCACTTTAGGTTTCTGAATTCTTACTTGTTGTCAATATACAGTTTCAGGGAATCTAAAGGCCTTTGAAGTGAAACCTAGCAGAAAAAAAATCTCTGAAATCAGAAAGAATGGAAGATTTTGTTTAGGTTACGGTAACAGATTTGCTGTCCGCATTATTATATTTGTGGTATAAGGTCTACCGCAAGGTTGTACATTCCTAAGCGCCTGTTGACATTGAATGACTCTTCAGTACGCTGTGTTACAGCTGACAGGAAACATGACAAACTGTTCCTCTGGTCAATCAGGACATCCTTATTACAGGAAAACAGTAGTCGGCCAAACTTTGAACAACAGGAAACAATAGATACCAAACTTAAATTTCCAGTGCTGAGGGAAGATTAAAGCGTGTTGGGGCCAAAAAATAAAAAGTCATTCTAAGGGCCAGTAAAAAAATCAGTGAGATTTTAAGCATTTTTAAGTGCACAAAAAAATTCTGGATATTTAATTTGTATTTACTATTATAGTATTTCTTTTTCTTTTTTCAGTTTTATTTTTAGTTGATTTAATAATTTGTATGGAATTTTGTCATTTTTATTATTATTATTTTTTAATATTTCTATTTAGCTTTCATTTATTTTAGTCAAGCCACATTTATCTATACATATAATTTAGATTGTTTCAAAGCAGCTTTACAGAGATAACAGGAAAATAATGCAACAAAGTTTGTTTCCAGAAGAAAATAGTGTCACAGTCCAGCTTAAGTAAGTTCAGTAATGTTTAATTTTTGTTGTAAAAAAGTTATTAATTTAGTTAATTTTTATATATTTATATATATAGCTGCTCTGTAGAAAAGTGTGATGTCATCGTCCAGCTCAGTTCAGTTCTCGTATAATGGTGTCAATGCAGGCAGATCAATAATATTGTTGAATATTAAATTAAACTTATACTTAGTACATAACTTAAGGTTTTCATCTAATATGTATATTTTAGTATTTTATATTTCAATGAATGAAAACTCTTTTTAATAGTTTCTGTTTTAGTTAACAATAACATCACTGCACTTATTTCAGTAGAAATGCACAGCACAGAGAACCTGAACTCTACAGCTTTCTTCTCCATTTACTTTTCAAACAGTTGATGTCATAAAACCTCTTAAATCCATATTTATTGCCTAGCCTTCTGATTGTAATTTCCAGTTTTCCTCTAAAGTAATCTGTTCCTCATTCCGAGCAGGGTCATGTATCTCCTCGAAGCTCCCGGGCTGAGATCATCTGGCACATTTTGCTTTCTGCAGTTATGGAAAATGTGCACATAACAGATATTGTGAAACATAACTGAGTTTGCAGCAAGCTGCTGAAGCTGGCTTGTTAGTTTTGTATCTGCTCACAATTCTGTGGATTTGGAAACGTAAAGCGAAAGCAAACCAACTCGGATTAATCAGTCGTGATAAAAGTGATATTTACACGTGAACTTTGAGAGGGAGAAACATGCTAAATCACTTCTGTGTGTTTTTACTGTTTGGACAGTGGGATAACATCTACTGATGACACAGTTTAACACTGGTAATTGAGCAGTCAGATTACACTGATTACAATGAGAACCACATGACTGTGAACTGTGGGTAATTTTCTTTTTTGATCATATCAAGTGGTATAATTGAATCTCTTTCAGTTTTGATTGAGTCACTTGATTGATGAAATGGAAACTATTTTATAAATGTGTACTATTGATCTTATAGTGAATGATTCATCCGTGCGTGTGTCTCTAAATTAGGGTGACCAGACGTCCCGAAATATTCGGGATAGTCCCGAAATCTACTGTGAGCTGTTGTCCCGAATCCGGCCCTAATTGTCCCGAAAATTATACTAAAGCAAAATCTTGAGTAGTTATTGTCTGATAAAACATCAAAAACTGTCCATGGAGGTTGTGTGTGTGTGCAGTCAGCCAGTCGTAAGGGGTGATTGATTGGTCGCGGCACTGTGTGTATGGCGTTATTCCCCTGTCAAATGTCGAGAGCGCATAATTGTAGCGCGAAAGTACATTAATATAATGTGCGAGCGTGAATCTCTCTGCTCGCGCGCGGAATATGATGTGCCGAGCGTGAATCTCTCTGCGCACGCGCGGAATATAATGTGCCAAGGGCGAATCTCTCTGCTCGCGCGCGGAATATGATGTGCCGAGCGTGAATCTCTCTGCTCGCGCGCGGAATATGATGTGCCGAGCGTGAATCTCTCTGCGCACGCGCGGAATATAATGTGCCAAGGGCGAATCTCTCTGCTCGCGCGCGGGAACTGGGCGCACGCTCTCAGATACACGCTGCTCTTGTAAGAATTCTCTCTCTGGGCTCGCTCAGAGAATATGCCTGCACTTAAAACGTGTTCAGTGCAATCGCGAATCTCTCCTTTTCCCCAGCTAACAATTTTAGGTTATAAGAACGTTTTCATAACGTTCCCATTAAGTTATAAAAACGTTATTTCTGAATGTTCTAGGGAATTTCAAAACGTCCAGTTTTTTAGACGTTGTATTAACGTTATTTCTTGGTTATAAGAACGTTCAATTCTCCCGTTATATAAACGTTGGTTGTATTAACGTTATTTCCTGGTTATAATAACGTTAGAACGTTCAATTCTCCCTTTATATAAACGTTGTATTAACGTTATTGCTTGGTTATAAGAACGTTATTCAAACGGTCAATTCTCCCATTATATAAACGTTCTCTTAATGTTTTTCTAAGATAATGAAAAACGTTTCATTCAATAAAAAAAAACATTAAGAAAGGTTTTAATAATTATTAAAACCTTTCTTAATTATTAAAACCTTTCTTAATGTTTTTTATATAACAAGGTAGCCTATATAATAGGCCTATATGAAGAACCTAAAACAAGAACTTTCAGATTTTAAAATTAAGACAAAAATAAAATAAAAAGACCCATGAATCATGTCTATAATATGTGTAATGTAGTCCACTGAAGTCGAGTTGAATTGAACCCAAGTATAGTTTATTCCAATAAACCGATTTGGGTTGAAGTGACAATATGAAATGAACATGAACATAAACTTGGACTAAACATAGAATCACCAACAATGGTACAGGGAACAAAGCTAGACAAGAGACAATGGGAACACAAGGATTATGACCAAAAACAACCAATGACATTCACAAGTTAAAGTTCATTTAATTTATATAGCTCATTTTTACAACAGCCACTGGCTGGCCAAAGTGCTTTACAGAACAGCAGAAAAAAAGGAAAAAAAAAAAAAATACATAACATATGGAATAGCAATTTCTGATTGGTTGTTGCCGTTTTGACAGCGTTTATGCCAAGAGCAAAGAGAAAGAAATCGAAGAGAAGAGTAATTAGGCATGCGCGAACGCACGGGAGACAGTCTAAGCACATACACGCTTACTTTAAGCGAAGAGGAGAGATTCGCGATTGCACTGAACACGTTTTAAGTGCAGGCATATTCTCTGAGCGAGGCCCGAGAAAATTCTTACAAGAGCAGCGTGTATCTGAGAGTGCGCGCCCAGTTCCTGCACGCGAGCAGAGAGATTCACGCTCGCACATTATATTAATGTACTTTCGCGCTACAATAATGGGCTCTCGACATTTGACGGGAATAACGCCATATGTGTGTAAAAAAAAGTTACACAAAGCAAATCATCTACACAATTTTTTAATTTTGGCTTATTAGTGTTAGGCTACAGCCTTAAAAGGTCTGATTTACACACTGTTACAACAGTCAATTTTTTTTTCTTTTTTTTTCACAATGACATTTGAGTTACATTTGAGTTCATGATTTTAATGTTGGTTCAACAGCCAACTTGTTTGCTGGTGTTTGTTGCCGTTTGTCTGTGCAGTGTGAATTGGCCTTAAAAGTTTGGTATGGTAGCATTGAGTTTTGCAGGGGAAAAAACTCCGAAAATGCTTAAATGTTTTTTGTGGTTAATCTCCTAGGTATGGTAATCGGTTTCTTGGCAACAAGCATAAACCTGAGTTATTGTGAAAGCAGGAGTTTTATGGTTAAAGTTTATTCAGCCGGTGCTATAGGGAGAGAGTGCTGATATTACACACACACAAAAGCCTCATTCAGGTCCATTGCAGAGAGCCTTGAAAAGAACACACAGATCAAACTTTAGGGTCGGTGGGTAAAGCCGACCCTTGCTCTCTTTATAATAAAGACTTTAATCCTTCTTTGCTGCACATTATATGTTCAACCACACTATTTTAGTTGTATGTACAACTACTGTTGTTTATGGTCTTTTGAATATTAAAAAAGTTCTTGATGTTGCATTACAGGTTCTTCAGATCAGCCAACTGGTCTAACTATATTATCTGTAATCCTTCAAAGAAACTAAAAGTGAAGCACTTTAAATTCTTCAAAGCATCAGAACAGGGATGGAAATTAGCACCCGCCACCAGCCAAATGCGGGTGATTTTGTGTTGTGGCGGGTAAACTCGCTTCACCTACCGGCCACCGTGGCGGGTAAATAAAAATAGCATACTGTTTCACCCGGACGGCAGACACTTTTAGAGGAGGCACACCTTCAAACAAAAATGTGGCGTTACATCGCAGGCGTAGAGGTCTGCAGAGAAAACATCATGGTGCGTTCACACCAGACGAGAATAGAGCGTCTGGCGCGAGTGATTTCATTGTTAGTCAATGCAAAGACGCGTTACGCGCGTAAAAAATTCCTACGGCGCGAATGAGGTGTAGAGCGCGCCGTGGTAGATGCGAATACGCCTCATTCGCGCGGCAAGTTCGAGCGTCTGACGCGTTCCGCGCGCATGATTTTATTGAGTGC